CATCACTTCTTAGTTAATTTGTGTAAAACTGTTCGTTTCACCTGCTAGAAAGCAATTGGATTTCTGTCTATTTTAACCCAGTTATATTAACATTGTTGCAACAGATGAATATCTTTGATTGAATTTTGAGTCTGCGTCGTTAGTAATCACTCATGACAAATCGCGAGCTTTAAAACTTGTCCAACGCTAATAGATCTTCATTGGTAACAGAAACACTCCATATCATTACTTCTCTGAGAAAAGACTTTTTTATTCAGCCTACATGTTCCTATGTAAATTTTTTGCTGATTAAGGTGAAGAATGATTGGACATAATTATACTATTCCGACAACTAATTTATCTTGACTTTCTGACCATGCCTATTTCAATGCAAAAAAATTTTATCGACATATTTTTATTATTTTGCATCATTTAGTTTAAAGAGTGCATGCTGTATTATTTGTAAAAGTTTAAACTAAAGCCAAGAATAAAGTATATATATATATATATATATATATATATATATATATATATATATGTTTCAAAGTTTCTTATTATTAATAATCATGTAAAAGGGAAAACAGTGGGAATTTATTTTCTACTGTTCATTGTAGACTAGGTGGTGACCTGATAAGTAAATTTATATCTGTTTCCTAAGGCTTGTCGTAAACAGTGTTTTATTTTTGAGATTGAGTGTAAATTAGTAGTATTTCAAATATTCCTAGTGTTTCATGCTTGTCAAATGGTTCGCGTCTGACTAATCAATCGAAATTTGAGTGTGATATTATTTATTCAAGGTCATTCCTATAAACGGTTAAGAAGAATTAGTGAAAAACAAATGTTTTATTGGCTCTATTCACTGATTAAGATGTTGACGAGAAACTCAAATGAGCACAGAGGTAGTATAAATAAACTCTACCAGTTAATTAATTACTTGAGTAGATACTGAACTTCCTGAGCAAGTTAAATTATTGATAGCTTTGTTTACAATATTTTTGTATCTGCATGTTCTGGGATGCAATCAAGAGAGATCTTTACATTACTCTTGTTACTGAGTCCTTGTCAGTCAGTCAGTAAGCAACAACGTACAATATAGTACATTCGTACATCATTTCAAGTTTTCATACCACATTAGCACAGACAGATGGAATTTTCAATTCAAACCTCATGGTGATAGAGGTAGTAAAGGTGTTAGCGGTAACGGAAAAGATTAGGGATCGAAGATATGATTCCAGAAGTATATCCTAATGCAAACATTTCAAAAAATAGAGGAAAGGTCATGGAGAATTCAAAAGATTGGAATTTGGGAGAAGACAAGGAGTGGATGCACCTGCGCCATTGCAAACGATGTTGAGCCATATCATTCAAAGTCTCTAAGCCCTGGTTACGATTGTCTTGCGGACCCTAACCAGAAAGTGCACACCTACTGACAGTCTAGTTGTCAGTGACTTGATGGATTTGAGCCATGTTTTGGTCTGGCCACCCCTAGGTTTCTTTCACCCTACTTCTACATCAAACAAAATCTCACGTCGAAGCCAGTCAGTCAGGCAAGCCTGACCACTACGTCAAGGTAGCAGCTACGGCCGTCGAGGTAGTCGGTTTATGGTCATACGTACCTCATGACGAAATCTGTATTCCTATATTTGTCCTTCAAATTACTATAAATTGTAAAATGTTTTTTATCTTTATTCATGATCAAAATATTTCGATCTTTTCTATCAATCGGAAACAACTGAATATTGTGGAAATCAATTAAGGTTCACAAAAACTCACATCGATTATCTAGCAATCCATTTAAATGGACTTAAAGTTAAGAACCATCTATTATTTTGAATGATTATAACACTAGACCTCTTTGTCCAGAACCTTACAACTATTTATTGTAGGAACTGTTGTTTCATCAAAATCTGCTACTATATATTTCCAATAATAATAATCTCTTAAACTTTCTACCAATTTACTTTTTCGTTCTCGATCATTTGCACAATATTCCACTCCAATTTTAACTACGTTTATACAGTTTTTTCTGAAACACAAAATTTTTCTGAATATCAGGAACCACAAATGCTATACTTTCTTGTCATTCTAAATGAATTGTAGCCTATTTGTGGAACTTGTCTACTTCCCACTTGGGAACTTTAAGTTCGTCCTTTACTTTACTGAATTCAATTCAAACAAACGAAATAGAATGACTATCATGCACAAGTGGAATGTGTTCATCGAAGCCAAATGAATCATTCTGTCTTTGTTTTTTAAATAACATTTTATAACTATTCACATAAATCGCTAAGATAATACATCGTAAGTTTAATTAGACAAGCTACATTTTATACAATTCTTATTTTCTTTTCTTTTATATAACTTACTTACTTACTTACTTATGCTTGTTACCCCCTCCCGCAGTGGACCATAGGCCGCCGACCAGCATTCTCCAACCTACTCTGTCCTTGGCTGTTTTACATAACTAATCCATACTTATTGAGGTAAAGTAATATAACCAATTTAATTAAATTAAGCATGTAAACAACGAAAAAAACTTCTATTCCTAATTGTAAATTTTCTAAAGTCTCATATAAAAACACTTAAGTGTATTCTCTATGTATATATATTTCTCTCAGTTGGTCCTTTTTCCTCTCTGTCTTCAGGATTATCTGTATATTTCTTTCTTTTCGTCTATTTTTATTGTTTTCGCTTAATCTCAAGCAACTTTTAACCTAGTTTCAACTAGTTCATTTGTTATGCTTCATAAAATTTCATTTCACCTTTCTCTCTTATAATCCCATCTATTCCGGTCTGTTTATATTACACTAACTGGTATATTTTTATTTACAGTGTTCTGCTCAATAGGTTTATTCGATATTAATCTCTCCTCTTTGAATTAGTTCTTCATTCCTTTCATTCTATCTTTCTTTCACTCCACAAGCTCTACTAGATGAGATTAAATTATTTGCTTGTTTTCATAACCTATTCAATTTTATTTACTTGTTTATCGTGACTCTTCCTCACTTTTGTCGCCTTCAAAATTGTTGTTAGTTTCATCTCTTTTTGTTTTAAACTTTGTGTGTGCGTGTGTATGTATGTGCGCGCGCGCATGTTATCTGTTTATGATGAACTACTCATTTAAGTTTTTTAACTTTTTAGAAAGGAAATTAATCAGTGAAGTTTGATTATTTTGCTTGTCTATTTACACAACTTCTTGAGTACATATCTATGTGTGTATGGGGAGTTTTAAAAGTTAGCTGTTATGTTTCATTCATTGTTCTTATCTTAAATCCTCACCACTTAAATGACCTTGAACTTTATTTCCGTAAATTAAGTAAATATGTATTTATTTGGATTCATATATTATGATTTTATCAAATTTCTCACTAAGATTAGTCTGTTGTTGTGGACACGATTTTTTCTTACCTAGTTTAGTGGTTAAATTATTTTCTCTTAGTGAATAAACTGTCGTTGAATAATACGGCACATAAGAGCGGTCTCTCAGTTTTCATCTTTGGAGTTATGACATGCATAAATTTCACATCAAGCAGTATCAAAAATCACTCGATTTTAGAAAGACGACAGTTGATAAGTTTAATAGATGCCTTTCTAACGGATGGGCACATACAAGCACAAAGTAGTATCGCCTAATTCAACTTTTTGATTGTCAAAATCCTATCTAATGATTGCTGCGATTTTATTGATATTTAAACTATCTACTGATACGTATGAAATCATATACCGATCGTCGGATGAAAATCAGATCCCAATATTATATCTTTCAACGATTCTAAATGAAAATTCAAAATCCATTCTTACAACTGGTTTATAAATTGCATTAGACAGTTTGTCTTAACATGAATATATGGATTCGCAGTCCGTTCTACCCATGTCGATTTTCACAACCAGATAGTTTAATATATATCAGTGTGCAAAAATTATTGATCTGTGTCAGTTTATAAACGTCAGTTGCCTTAACACTATTAATTTTTGTTGCTCTCACTATCACAGCTTAATATACAAAATGCTGTCATTGACACTTGTTATACAATTTTTAGCTAGTAAGAATTCTATTGATAAAGTTAAAACCCAAAATCTTTCTTGTCTGTTGGTTTTATTCCAATCAAATGTCTAATTGATCTTTCAATTTTCATTGTACTGTCGTCGTGAAAAATTGAATACTTTAAGAAACATGTCATGAAATTATTAAATAAACATTGGGAAAATGACTTAAAATTTATTTATGCCTACTGTAAAAATATTGAATGATTATTCTAGTTGTGTAATACTTATGGAAAGTCAAAAGAAAATTAGATTTCACTGATCAGTTGTACAGCATAATCTAAATGACTGTAACATTGATCAATGTCTACTGATATTCGTTGTCTGAGGATATGGTTATTATGTTCCGGTGATTACATAAGACTTATATTCTATAGGTGATACTACTTAACCATACGGTAATTACAAATTTGATTTATTTAACACGGAACACATTGAGCTTCTTATCTTTATGACACTAATTAATCCAAAGTAAATATTACTGAGATTTGTTGGAGACATTAAATAAGAGACACATAAGCCCATAGCTAATGAATATAAATACTTGTTTTTAGTGACATCGATGGTGATTTAGATGGATCTTAGGGATTTCCATACCGTTTACAATACTGCTCTAACTGATCTGAACTCTTATTACTAACAAAATATGAATTCTATTGGTATTATCGATCAACATAGTGGTTTGAATCATTACTAGCAAATCAAAATGTTGATTTTTATTTTATCGACCGTTAACTTACAAAAATTATTTGTCTATGATGCCCCGAAAAATAAAACTGGATTGAAAACAATGTGTGATTTCAATCAAACTTCGTATTTTACTGAGGCCGTATCACTGTACGTCATTATTATTTGAGAAAATCGATGAGGGATTTTTACATTTTCTTAAAATAATTGTCTTATTATTTATTATTATGAATAAATTAAAATGACAATTGACTAATATTTTACATTTCATTCATTTCACTTATCATTAGGTGCATACAATCCCAGCTAAAATGTTTCGTCGTGTTTTAACTCTAGTACAAGCACATTGTAAACTTGGTTTAACTGCAACATTAGTTCGTGAAGATGATAAAATAACCGATTTGAACTTTTTGATTGGACCTAAATTATATGAAGCTAATTGGTTAGAATTACAACAACGTGGTTTCATTGCACGTGTTCAATGCGCCGAAGTATGGTGTCCGGTTACACCTGAGTTTTATAGAGAGTATTTAAATGTAAGTTGTTAGTTTATTTTGGTCTCAGTTTTCAGTAGTATATTACTTTTTAATCAGCTGCACATCATCGCTCAGCACTAACATATCATTTTACAGTTGATTATACAAAAATCACTTAAATAGTAGGGAATAAATTTAATGCAACAATAAGCTGAAACGCAAATCAGTTGACCTCTAAAGTTTTTTACTTCAGAATCAAAATATGAGGTGTCAATAGTTTTATGGAACTGATCACATACAAATTAAGAGAGGCATAAAATACAGTATAAACTTCAGTTTGGAATTATTATTCTTTTAATTTATCCAAATAATTGCATGCCAATTAAGATAAAAATGAATTTGTAAGTTTATTTTAAATATCTCGATGCAAAGGTCAAGTTTGTAAAAGTGGATTCCTATAGGGTTATGTCTCTTTGTACCAGTCGATATCGAAAAGCTTAACGCGAATGGAATGAGATACAATGCTCTCAGTTAATGTCCATCAAAGAAGACTCAAACTAAATTGGTGACCAAATGAAGCCTAATTTTCATGAGATTAGTTCACTACGAGACTGGCTAAAATTATTATTTGAATATTTGTTTGTTGTCGACCCTGCCTATACGAGTGCTTTTAAAAGTTAATCGAATTAGTAGTGGAGCATTAGTTCATTAGTGACGTTAGATACTGATCAAGTTTTATAAGAAAATATTCGAAGTTAGGAATCTGAACGATTGAACTCTTAGTAAGTGGTTTAATGATATTCCTCCGCATATCCTACAAATAAATATTGTTTCCCATTCAAACTACATACTGTTTGTTATTGTTGCTATGATTTCGCTTTTCACCTTTCACGGTTATATTTAACCATAGAATCCTTCAGTAATTCAATTTTTCCTCTAACTGAAAGTCATTATTTGATTCTATATATTTATGAAAAGTGTATTTCACCGTTTAACTGTAAAAATTAATTTTCATTATCCCTTGATTTTTAATAATACTTTTTATTCTAAGTTCTTATTTATTATATTTATCCTGTTCCGTATGTTGTGTTATATAAGTAGTATCCATATTTTATTTTGCGTTTTGTATTCTATGATCTATTGGGTGGAAGCAGAAACCACATTCAATGCACTGTTCATTGTTTCATTTTGCGGTTCTATTTTCGTTTTGATATCTAAGTAGTTAACGATTGTCAAATGCTTGTATTGCACTTATTTCTTTTCATTCCATACTAATCGTAGACTCTTGAACTCTTATCTTAATGAAAGCCTAGGAGATATTTTCATGAAAACCCTGCTGAACAGTTGGTTTGCATATTTAACTGTATATCTATTGTTGAGTTCAGAGAACATTCGAAACGATGTCCCTCATACACACCATCTTAAATGGCATGTCACATAATTCGTCAGCGATTATCAGTGACATATCGAAATAGAATCTTTCCTGTTGACTTGGTTCTTTTGCTCTTAGCAAATAATAAAGTGCGATGGTACACCATGTTTATACGTTACAAAAAAAACACAACTAGATACTGAACAGATCAGCAAAAAGTTTATTATTGATTTATATAATAGATTACATTGCGTTGTCATTGAACAATGACGACTAAATTTTAACTATCCTTACATGTTTTTTGAACAGAACACTTTTTTAAATTTTAATATTTAAGTTAAATGAAACCATTTATTAATATTTGATATATTCAATTGACTATTACTATTACTTGGAAAGCAAATGAATACTTTTTTCTAAAATAGGGAATATCCAGCAAATGATTTTATCTGTTTAGAACTATTCGATTTCATTATTATTATTATTACTATTATTATTATTATTGCTGTAACTATCATCATAATTGTAGTATCGTTACTTGTCATGGAACATTGACAATGTTATTCCTGTGTTCTTATTTTTTCTATCCTCTTGTATCATATTAGTGTAATCCATATGCTTTTTTTTTTTTTTTTACTGAACAGCTTTATTCAAATGTATATCATTTCTAAAAAGGAAATAAATTTATTGCTAGATAAAAATGTTAAACTATATTTCTACGTCATGTATCAATTTCTATAGTGTTTAGTGTTTAGCATAATAAATACAAGCAATTAATGGGAATAGTGTGCTCAGCTCACTAGTATTAGTATTAACAATGAATAATCTAAACAACAGTAACTCCCAATGGACTTCACATACAAGGACATAATTTTTCTCATTTATTTGATAAATTATTTGAAATTTTTTTTAAAAAACCTGGTGTCATTACGATTCACTGAGCTATAATAATAATGATAATAATAAGCATCCAACAAATGTCACCCTAACACAAGGTTGAATATTGAAGGTGATTGGATAATTCAAATTAGAAGTTTATAATAAGTTTTGTTTTCAATGAATTGCACATCTTGATCTCAGTTTTAAAATACTTTTATTTCTATTAATTGTGTTAAAGTATTTATTTAATTGGTGAAATAACCTTTGATCAATATCCACTTAGTTTTTTTTGTTGAATAATATAAAAGGAACTATCCTCAGTTAACCAGAACCTCGTGATATCATTATTATAATCGAGAAAGTGAATAATGCCTCTAATCTGAAAGTTTTTTTTATCAATTTCAGTTCATTCCTCGTCTTACGATTTTCATGTAGAATGTCAGTAACTGTATCGTTCTTTGTAAAAAATGAAAGGATTTATGGTAGTTTTATCATATGTTCCTATAAACCTGAATTGTTATTTTTAACATATAAGGTTGTGTGGTTCCACAAGACAGCTATCGAAGATGACAATTGAAATATGTAGGTAGTGTCTTGTATGATCCAGGCAAAGTTGTACTTTGGTGAATTCAGATATTTAATTCTCAGCTGATGCATAAGAATTATGAGTAATGTTGTTTGGTTGCATAGAACAATTAAATCCTACAACGTGGCACATTGGTAAATAGACACTTTATCAAATAATTACTTTCATGCATAATTCCATTGGTATTATTATGGCAGCTATAAGTAACAACATCCGATTATTGTTCTTAAATTATTGGGCGATAGCTGTCACCTGAGATGAACTTCACATTTATTTTTAACACAATATACTACAAAGTAAAGGAGAGAGGATGGATCAATAAATACATTGTTTACAAATTTTTGAGAAAAACGATCGACGAAAAAGAAAAGGAATACTAACTTGATTAAAGTTAGGCCGTTCCCAAAGCAGCGAAATTCTGTATACAAGTAGATATATATAATTTCAATAGTTTGAGTATGTAGTAGAATTAAACTATTTTGTCCTGTTTGTGATGCTCCTCTGTTATCGTGTTCAGCGACCTATTGTGATTAAATATCACTGAACCTCTTTTCATTGTTTCAATCAGAGTGAACGCTCGTCAAATTATTTGCTATGGAGTCTAAATACTTACTAAATCCTCGATTCACAAAGGATTCCGGTTTTCAACCCTTAATCAATAAGACCACTGTTGCATAGTATTTTCTATTTTTTTGATTTTTTTCTAAAGTTACGTCATTTAATGATAGAAAAGCGCTGTAAGCAATTTCGCAATCATTTAGTCCAATACAATTTCGTTCACTTTTCTTTGTAGTTTTGTTAAACAAGAGATATGTGTCAATTACACTTTGTTCGAATGGTAAATCTACTGAATATTTTTTTTGGAAGTATTTTGTTTAAGCTATTTCGCTCTGTTGCTCTTTTTATCATTTTTATGAATGGAACCAAACAAATGCATCTATCGTCATTATTATCGTTAGATGAAAAGTATGAAAAAATTATTATTGGCTGCCATGAATCCAAACAAGTTTCGCGTTTGTGAATATCTTATACGTTATCATGAGCGTAGAAATGATAAAATTATAATATTTTCTGATAATGTATTTGCGTTAAAATACTATGCGACAAAAATGGGACGTCCATTTTTATATGGTCCAACTGGTCAAGCAGAACGCATGCAAATATTACAAAATTTTCAACATAATCCTAATGTAAGTTATTTTATTTAAACTGATAATTAATTTTCTAAGATTAAATTTATTTAAGACTTTTTGTTTGAATTTTAAGCCGTGTAATTTGTGATAGTGAATTAATGCCTTTGTGTTCAACGTAGAAATCACTGCTGAATGTTTTAAAATAATCTCATGAGTTTTAGAAATCGACGCTTGTTTAAATGATAGCATTTCTATAATCCTTCTTATTGATTATGATAATCAGTAAGCTAATTTAAACTGGCCTGACTTCTGCATATTGATTCATGGTTTCGAACTCGAATATACCCGTTTTTACTTACTCATATTCAATCAGTCATTTGGATCGTCATTATCATCATAATTACGATAGGATTGTTAAATGTATATGAGTATTTAGTAAAATAACACATACCACACCACACTTAGTATGTTGACGGATAAAACTTAATTAATGCCAACTGTTATATCATATTTAATGGTTTGATTTATGTGAAATATCAAAGCTCAAGAGTAATTCTTGGTATTCTCCATGTTCCTTCAGTATTAATCAAATTATGGCATAGTGTTGCTTATTGTTAACGTGTGATCTGCCTTTTCATAGAAGCATGAATTCATCCTATACTCAGAAATTAACGTGTATGCGGTTATCAAGTATCCTCTGATTGATCTTCGATGAGTGCTATCAAATGTGATTTTGCATTTCAGTTGTCATAATGAAGCTACAAATATAATCGAATCGGTTTAAGAGCAACATATTTTCAACAGTTTATTTATACTTATGAGACGAATATTTCTCAAATTGTTTTACATACTGTTCCATATAAATCTGATTTAATACTTTTTGCATAAAACATGTAACTCATATCCACGAAATTGAATCAGTAAGTCTTGGATTCTATTTCTGTTATAAATTATTGGCAACTGGATTGTCACTGCCTGACTGTAGCTGCTACCTTGACGTGGTGGTCAGACTTGCCTATCGTGATAACTCAACCGAGCTATATTGGCTCGATCACATGTTGCTGTAGGTTCTACCACGCCAGACAGGTCGATTGGAGAACGATGAGACTAAAAACAGCTACTCAAGGTCTGAGAGTGAAGTCGTACTGCTGACTGTAAAGGGGTGTGACAACAGTAAGGTGTTTCCCTCGCCAACCAGCATCTGCAGTGATGCTGCCTTCTCACAAGGAAGCAAGTGTTAGAAAAGGTCAACCTTAAAAATGTCACACCTCATCGTACCTCACGGATTTCCTTTCTCCGGCGGTAAGGGTTTTTAAACATGAGCGGAGCTAATACTTATAAAAAGGCCGTGCGTGACTGGCCATAAACAGTTATCCCTTGGGCTCTGCATTCATGCTCCTAGGTCTCTAAGTCCACCGCTAACCCTGTTCCTTTTTTAGGTTCTTCAAGAAGCACCCTTCCACGGTGTGGGTAGTCTGGAAGTGACATCTGCCCTCTTACCCATATTAGCACATGGATTATCGCTGAGCTTATTAGAAATTTATTTATGTTCCTGTTTATAATATGTTCGATAGTTTACCAAGCACACGCAGTTACTAAAGTTTCTGGTTGAATTTATTTCGTGGCCCGATTACCTTATTGATTCCAATCATTGTTGTATACAAGATCCAGCCTATCGATCAGTGTTGTGTTTGTATACGCAAATAAATTTCATAAAAAGATTATCGGATGAAATTTTAAATCTGATCACGTATTTTACTTGATATAGACTTAAATCTCATGCCATAAATTTATTCCCATAGGTTCCAGCAATATTTGTTTCTAAAGTTGCTGACAATTCTTTTGATTTGCCTGAAGCAACAGTACTCATACAGATTAGTGCTCATGGAGGCAGTCGTCGACAAGAAGCCCAACGTTTAGGACGAATTCTAAGGGCAAAGAGAGGCATGGATGCCGAGGCCTACAATGCATTCTTTTATTCTCTAGTCTCTCAAGATACCATTGAAATGCAGTATGCTTTAAAACGTCAACGTTTCTTAGTGAATCAAGGATATTCTTATAAAGTAATTCACAATATTCTTAATAAATTGATATTATTGTTTTGTCCAACAATTTATTGAATAAGCCTATCAAGAAAATCAATCCTCTAGGTTTTTGAAATATATTTTTTTTGGCAGTAGAAATTTCCTTGTTAGAATATTATGTTTATCTATTTACTCAAAACGCCTGTGTTAAATGGTAACAACAAATAGATTAAATTATGTCAGATTAACTTTCGTACAGTATCTCTAGTAACTCTAGGGCCTTAGAAACGAGGTAGAAAATATATTTTAACTCGTCTCTCCTGGGACTTTAACTGAAACCTGAGATGCACTAGATGGAGAAGCAACGTCAGAAATCCCGCTTCCATGCTAACTAGCTTCTCGAAAACCTGTATGCACTATTTCTTCTTCATCTACATCACTTAATTTAGCAAGAAGATTGTTTTCAACTTTGAAAGGGATAAAATATGTGCACCAAGCCATTCCTTTTATTCCCTTGATAATTGTTTTTATTTTTGAAAATCACTCCCTACAATTAATTGAAATAAATAAAAATCTTGATAAAGTTTTTATGACCAGTTATCTACAAAATAAAAAAAGATGAATTCTTCCACTACCATTGTAAATGCGAATTATTATTATTATTATTCCTATTATGCAAACTCAATTGTCTCAGGTTTACCATGAAAAACGTTAATAGTCATGATGGGTTAATAAAAAATTGAAAGTAGTCGCTACTGTACATAGGAATATATACTTATAATAGGTATTGTAATTAACATAAAGACTTCCTTATTCGTCTTTTCTGACTATCACTTTCGAAAATCACTGTTTCCGATAATCAAAGCACCTGTTTGAAAAACTCTATTACCTTATCAATAAGATGTCTTTTTATCTGTATGACAGTTAGTCAAACTTCAATGAGTAAAGCTGGGTTATAATATACAACCCAGTGTCCTTGAGAGTCGAATGTTCTGACAACTGAACCACTCAATTCCATTGTTTAACCCTCTATTATAGAACAATAAAATCCTACTTAATTGAATAGCATTTTAAAGAAAATTTTTCATCAGTAATGAACATTTATGCTGATATTTTCATATATCAGACGCTCAGTACAATCTGAATAAACACGGTATAAGATCGATTCCAGCATAAAGTCAATAAACATGTTTATTTCCTCAGTCTTTCTTATCTGTGTTAGTATGTTCTTATTCTCCCTGGAGTTGATGTATGTATACATGAAATTAATCAAATAGTGACATGGTTGTTTCAGCTCTTTCCCATTGTTTACTGACTAAATATTTACCTTTTCATATTATTATTATTATTATTATTATTATTATTATTATATTAGGATATTCAGCAATAATTTTTGTTTCCTTCACTTGTTTTCTACTAACATTACTACATGGCGACCTTGGCTTGTTTATTTACTTGTTTATCAAAGAAGACCAGAAAGAAAATCAGTAATTATAGTTTCTGTAATAAATAACAATAATAATAATAATAATAATAATAATAATAATAATAACGGTGATGCTACTAAAAGAAAAAGAGGATATGGAAAATAAATTAATTTATTTTATGATAAATTTTGTGTCCCCTATTCAATCCCACAAAACTCTATAGTAATGACAGAATAACTCACTATGCTTAATCAATCAGATAGCGTTGATTTATTTTGTTAGCATTCTGCACATGTATCTGAATTAAGTAAGTAAGGCATTCAACTTGTATACTTAATGTGTTCTAATTATTTCCCATTCATTGAAGTTGAAACAGCTGGATATAACATTAATTTTCCCGTATAATTAATTTGTAAAGTATTGTCTAGTGCATTCCTCTGTAATTCATATTCTGTTTCTAAGCAGTTAAGCTTTATTTATTGCATCTTAGACATGTATTTCAGTCATTTCAGAATTGAACACTGCGTTGATATTCTTTAAATGGCATAACTTGAAATATCAGATTATTGTTTAAAAAGGAAAGATATTGATGCTGATTAGATTCCCCCCTCCTTACTTTACAACTAGAAATAAACACTTTCATATTAACTTGTAGGAATCGTCAAACAATCTTTTGTGGAATGCATATCCAACTTATAGGCAATATTTACTGAACAATATTCTAATCCATAAATATCTCAATCATTTTCATACCACATTTCACTGTTACACACGAATTATTTGTTTTAATTCGCACTATCATTATTAAAAATTATGCGGTAGCAATACATATTAACAACAAATTGTTGATTCTCATTTTCATTTTTTTCTTTAGGTTATAACAAGACTAGCAGGAATGGAGAATGAGTCGTTGAAATTGAGTACAAAACAAGAACAAGCTGAATTATTAAATCGCGTATTAGCTAGTACAGATGAGGATGCTATGGAAGAGAAGTTACCAACTGATCCGGATAGTTTTAATTATACAAACATTTCTACAGGCATCTCTGGCTTGATTCGTAAATCTAGTAAAATGTCCAGTTTATCTGGTGCCGATGACGCTATTTATGTTGATACTAGCTCATCGGCTTCTAGAAAAGACAGATTGAAGGAAAGACATCCATTGTTTCGTTTATTCAGAAGATAGATATTTTGTACTGATACTGATTATGGTTTAGTCTTTCATTGTAAAAGAATTTTGTTTAAAAGATTTTTTAATAAAAGATTATTGTATTTCACTCATTGTACCTGCTTATAGCGTCATATTGGTCATTCAGTTTTAGTGATCTTATTCGCCTATGTTTTAAATGTTCACATTAACTACCTCTTTTTCATCCATTAAGGTTTGTGTCCACTTTGTCTGATTGATATTGAAGTAGAGTTTGAACGTGTAGGAAATGATGTAACTCATTTAGTCAGATAAAATTTGTTGTGACACGTGTCTGATCATTTGTTTATGCACTGTATTCACTGATACATGCAATGTTAAGTGCGATTTCAGCAAAGAAATGTAGGCTGCCACATAGTTAAGTACTATGATTTCTGACTTACTCACGCCTGTTACCCGCAATGGAGCGTAGGCCATCGACCAATATTCCCCAACCTCTGTCCTGAACTATCTTTTTAGTTCTGTATAATGTTTGTTCATCCTTCCCGTGTATGTCTACATCATCCAATGTGGTGTGTTCCGTGGCCTTCCTCTTTACTTTTGACCTTAAGGGTTCCAAATGGGGGCTTGTCTTGTGGCGCAGTTGGGTGCTTTCTGTAATGTGTGCCCTATCCACTTCCACCGCTTCTTTCTGATTACCTGCTCCGCTGATATCTGGTTCCTTCCCACAGTAGATTGTTGCTGATGGTGTCTGGCCAATAGATCCTCAGTACCTTGCGTAGAAAACTGTCTGTATCGGTCGGCTGATGGCATTTGCAATTCTCCAGGTTTCAGCTCTATAATGGCAAACTATTGTGATGTTTGTGTTGAAAATTCCGGTTTTGGTGTTTGTTGACAGTTGCTTTGGGTTCCAGATGTTGTTCATTTTTAGAAACGCTGTCCTCGCTTTCCCGATCCGCACATTCACATCTACATCAGGCTTTTACTTTCTTCAAGGCTTCTCCATCAAGAGTGATTAAGTTGGCGCATGTGGTGTTGTATCGCAGAATCTTGCTCTTCCCTTGTGTGTGCTGAGACCCGCTGCTGCTGAAGCTGTTGTCACGCTAGTCGTCCTATGTTGCGTTTGTTATTGCGTGTACGATAGAAGAGCCAGATCATCTGCGAAGTCCGGATCGTGCAGCTACATCCAGGCTATCTACCGTATTTCGTGCTTCCCTCCAGATGTTGACGTCCCCATAATTCAGTCGGTCACCAAGAAAACGAGAAAGGGTCAAAGTTGGTATCTTGCCTGATACCGGTCTTCACCTCGAACGATCCGTGCACGATTTTGAAGTTTAATCCATCGTAAGAATTCTGTATTATGGTGACCATCTTCCCAGGAATGCCATAGTGTCGAAGAAGCCTCCATAGTGCTGTCCTATCCAATGCTTTCTCCTAGGCAATGAAGTTGGTGTAGAGTGGTGAGTTGCATCCAAATGGTTGCCCCACAATGATTGGTAATTTGGTGGGCATACAATTGATTCTTACGAAATCCAGCCTGTTGATGTCGAAGTTGGGCGTCTATGAAGTCCTTCATTCTGTTTAATAACATCCTGTTGAAGAGTTTGCTTGGTATTGTGATGAGGTATCCATCTTTCCAGTCTTTTAGGGCTTTTTCTTCATCCTATATCTAGATGAAGAGGATGTGGAATAATTTTGCAGTCGCTGCCACATCTGGTTTCATTGCCTCTGCCGGAATGTTGTCTGGTCACACTGCTTTGCTGCGCTTGATTTGTCTAATGGCCGTACTGACCACTTCAAACGTTGTCGGGCCAACATTTTTTGTGAGGTCTGTGGATGTTACTTCGATGTTGAGTGGGTTCAGTGTAGCTGGTCGATTCAAGAGTTCCTTGACGTGCTTTTTCTACCTGTTTTGCTGCTCTTCAATGTTGCTGATTACATTGCATTTCTTAATTTTCACTGGCTTCTCTGGTTAACGATAGCTTCCAGAGAGCTTCTTTGAGTTATCGTACAGTTAACTCAAATTTCATTCTCTTGTGGCTTTTCCCGCCGTCATTGCTAGATCTTCCATATATTTTCGTTTGTCGGCTCTGATGCTTCTCTTCACTTGCTTGTTTGTTTCTGTGTATTCAGTATCTCTGTTTGGCTGACGTTAATTGCTGCCTTCTTATTCCTCCTTTCTTGACTCTTATCCAGAATACCAACAGAGATCTATTCCTTGTGATAGTACTTCTTGTGGCCCAGAACCTCACCACGTGTTGAATTGATTACTTCCATAATTCCTTTCTAATTGTTTTCCATGGTTGTTTCCTCTCCTGGGACTTATTTTTGACTGCTATCTTGAATTCGTTGAGTTTTCTAGTATCCCGAAGAAAAACCCTATTAAACTTTTGTGTTGTGTCCAATGCTTCTTGAGTTTCAGTTTGGCGACGAGTAGGTGATAATCTGAGGCTATATCAGTTCCTTTTTTTCACTTTCTACACGGTCTTTCTGAACCTTTTGTTGCACTTATCGCTGATTCGGTCGCCTCAGTAGGATTTGCAGTTGGAGTTATTTTTTCAAGGACTACTTATTTAACTCACAGTTGTGTGCTTTAACGTGTGAGTTTCTCACCATTTCTACTATGTGGGTTAGATGTTCCCTTTCAGGATTGTTTTTAATGTTGACCAGATTGTTTAATTCCTGTATCTAGGCAATCGATGTTAAATAGTCTCATAAGTGGTGACCTGATTGACAGCGTCGTAAGTTTTGAAAATCGTGACCGATTATCATACCTAGCGTCACCGAGTCAGTCTATGGGATGTGGATCATTTTCTCGAACGTAGCAGCATTACGGATTTGCATTGTTCCTTCTACACGCTAGGAAACCTGTTTGTTTTGAAGAAGCTACTTCGAACTTTGCGGTAGGTCCATGCACTTTATACTAGCACGTGCGTAATAATGGCCTTGTAATAAACTTCATAGCTCGGAACTCAAAGTTCTTTTATCTCTTCGATTTTCAATCAAGCAATCCACAAACTGAGTATGCATATGATAAAAGTACATCACAAGTTTACATTGCGCTCATCAGCATCTCAAACGTTCACAGGTTCTAGAGTTTCCGATTACAGATTTTCGACTTTCCTTGCCGTCTGACTTCTATATTTTTTCACCAGACAGCTCTGATTCTGAACAGCACAATTAATCTTAACATTATTTTACATTTGATTGTATTGCGTTACGCTTAAGAGTTTCGCTACTTATCAACAATAATAAGTTTTTCATCTGTTTACCTTAGGTGTATGATCGCTACACTAGCTGTTCTGCGTAGATGTTGAAGAACAATCCAGATTAAGAGTTCTTAGTTGTTGACGCTTGTTGAGGTGCGCGCTACATTTATCGTGTCGTGAACCTATGTAATTGGAGGACTTATAATAATGCTGAGATATTAGTACACCACTAGGTATGGGCAAATTCGGTCCTATAGAAGCTGACACAGACTGATAATGCTGTTTAAATAATAAATCTACTTCTCCGTCTTGGTTAAGAAACTATGTCTTAAAGAGCTTCACTGTCCAAGCTTGCCACCCAAACATTTTTCTATATTTAGCTCTTCCACTACTTATCAATGACTGATTTTAGTAACTTGACAGGTCAGGTTAGTCAGTACCTATTTTTGGGCTAAGACGAATACCTGTGCTAAACTATTTTACGAACTATCAGATACAAAAAAGGAAGTGTTATCAACTGAACTCAGTATCAACAAGGATCTATTCTATATTAGTAACACCGTACAAGGTGAAATTAGCAAAAAAATTGGAGTTTGTCTAGTTTCAGCCATGTGGAAGCTAGTGTCGCTGGAGGCAAATTACTAAACTAAACTGAATCCACTACGCAGAAGACTTAACCATTTTCCGCAGTCCAGGAACCACCAAAGAAAGGTATTTGGCTAACAATATCTAGCTGCATAGAATTTAGATTTCCTGTCACGTGGTGCTCTATGCAAGCTGTTGAGTCTCACTATCAGGAGTTTCATAAGCGATCATCGTAGGTGTACTCCTCTCCATGATATTGGTTAATAATTTTCCATATAAAACTACCTCAGTGGCACTGATCTATGAGAACAATGCAAACTCAGGAGGTCCTTAAGAGGGCAAGAGGATTCAACTGAGCTTCAAATGGATCTGTAAACTATAGAAGAATTGGCATCAGGTAAAGAGACAAAACCTCATTTTTTTAAATGTCAGGACCCAACCGAGGCCTACGAAACTCTTCACGTTACGAGAATATATATCGGTACTATCACCCCGATATTGTTCGTAACGCAATAGTATACCACTACACTAAATTATCCATATATTCACTTACTTCTGAAATCTTATTACCATAAGACTTTTCTTCGTGTTGTACTCCACACAACTCCTAATCGACATCCGGCCTGGTAACGTGATACCTGCTGGAATTCAGAAACCCCACTTTCCTGAAACAAACGTACTGATTCAAATCAGGGTACATACAAACTCACAAACAACTGACAATCGACTAGATACAGTGAAGTTGAGTAACTACACCAACATCGATTAAACACCACTAAATACCTGGATTCGTGCCAAAAGAACAGGAATCGAGGGCAAACGAATCAATTGGTTAGTACTAGCTCGTGAAAAGATATTGGATTTTTGAAAAATATTGAAGTGAATAACAAGGTCATTCCTTGATGCGCCAAATCAACTCTGGAGGGTTGTAACGCATTCGAAATCTTGCTCTAGTGACTTTTTTCCGGTTGCTGTCTGTCGGTTACGCTAATAGATGTAAGCGTGTACTGTTTGCTTACTGTGCCGTTGATTCACCTTCTCTTCCGTTCTTTTTTTTACAGATTACCTCACACGCTTCTCCACAGATAGCTCCAGCACTCAAGGTACCTCCAGGCTAGACGCAAACTAACCAAACGCTCAAGTTTCAGAATGAGCAGATCAGTTCCTCCAAATGTTAGGGCCTTGGTAGACCGTATTATTAGGGTTGATCATGCAGGAGAGTTGGGTGCCAATCGAATTTACCAAGGACAGCTAATGATACTTGGAAAATCAAGTGTAGGCCCCAAAATAAAGGTAAACACTAAGTAAGCTGAAATTTTAACTGTCAGTATTGTTCTAATGTAACTCGTTGATACTACCAAACGTGATCAATGTTCGTTGGGACCTATCTAATGTCCTAAAACCCTCTATGTACGAACATTTGTATATGTTGTAAAATAAATCTCCACACGTTTTCTTATACTTTACTTGGGCCAACCCTGTTTGTGCGACAGCGGTAATAAGAAGCCAAATACGCATTTGAATCGTTGAGTTTATCTCAGGTAATCGTTTACGCAGGTATTATAACGAAAATCATACAAACAAAGTGAAGTGAATTAAGATGGAGAAGGCGAGAGAGTCAAATCTATTTAACTAAACGTGACTAATACTTTATAGTCAGAAAAAAAATGAGCCAGACATGTAATAAGCGAGATAGGCGTGCACACACGAATAAAAGCAACGCAGATATGAACGTATGACTGACAAGGTCAGAAGATAAGTGGGGCGAGCCATATGAGCTAGACATGGGAGCACTCACTACACTGTCAGCTGAGTATGAATTAGGTCCCATACATTAGAGGTATGTTAAGAAGAATATTTAAACTGATCAGCTATGTTTACAGATGGAAGCTATTCTCAATTATCTACTGAAACTGTAGAAACTGTACACGTTCTCTCTGTTGTATCATCTAATAGGTGCTAGTAATTAATTAATATTCCCTACCTGCCAAATCGAAACGGCCTATTGCACTTGAGTAGTTTATTAGTGTACATATGTGCATATACTCTGACTAAAATTCAGGAGTTTCCGATCCCATGGCATCAACTAATGGGGCACGAAGTTTGAGCCTGTAGTTTTACCACGCTATGACGATGACTTTTATTAAACGTTTCTCATATTCTTCCTTTTTCTCTTGACGTTCGTATTCTCTTTACATCCTAAAAATCATTTAGTTTCAAATTTCCGGCATTTTAGACAGTGATATCAGTTATAAGTATGTCAGTTGCGAAGACATCTTCGGTTCTTTGACTAATGTAACCCTATATAAGTTTTGCTGAATCATAAAAACACAGTTGTTCATGAATATTGCTAGCAATGGCTCTTAGGTTCTCATTTACTCTAATTATGGCACGAGATCCCAAAAGCCGCTATTATTTACGGCTGCTTGAAAGAAATTTTTCAGCTGATTTGTTGTAAAATTAGTTTGATTGAATTATTTCTGGTCGCTACTGTCTTTGTAAGCAATCAAGATGTCCCCTAGTTTCGTTGGATTTTATAACACTGGTAGCTACCTACTAGATTGGTTACATCTTTTTTATCAATCTAATAATAATGTTATGCTGTCTTCGTAGGAAATGTATGATCAAGAAGCGGAACATTTGAAAAAATTCCAAGAACTTATCCCTCTTCATAGAGTTAGACCCACATTACTTTTGCCTCTATGGAGTATTGCTGGGTTCACATTAGGTGTGGGAAGCGCACTTATGGGTTCGAAATGCGCTATGGCTTGTACCGTTGCTGTTGAATCGGTGATATCTGAACATTACAACAATCAAATTCGTGAGCTCGTGGAAAATGACCCTAAATCTTATCAAGATTTACTTCAGGTCAGTTGTTATTTGAAGCGTTTAATCTCTAGTTTCGTATTTGTTGATGTACGACTATGTATTTGGATCTCGATTTTCTTATTAATCAGTTAGAGAACATAGAACCTGGCTGAAATGTATATTGTCCAGGTTACTACGTTCTACATCGGCACATGATAAGAAATCAAAAATGGAATAAAGACGGGTAAGAAATAATGTCAAATGCGATTTTGATCTTCATGCTAGAGACGTGATTTAGGAAGGACTGATGAGAGGATTGAAAATGTAAGACAACGTAATTCCAAAGATTTAAAGGAAAGTAGCTAACAAATGCATCTCCATCATTGTGGTTTATTTTATCCAACCATGGATTACGATCATTGCAGATCCGAACCTTAGTCTCTTCATCTGTTGACATAATTCAGTCCATCATTCGTCGACTACATGGAGGAATCCCATGTCTTTGTTTGGTTCCTTATAGGATTCTCCATTGAGCGTCGTGGTAGGCGGTGGTTATGCACGAATAACCGTCTTACCACCCATTTTGATGGAAACTGAACCAGATTGTCCTTACCTAGCGTTTCATACTTAAATTAGCGTTGTAACAGCTGTGCTGCTTTGTCTGCAAATTAGTTTCCTGTCTTATTGCATAGTGTCTTCACCTTCGAACTGATATGCTTTTTTATTAACTCAACAAAAATTCTCAATTGTGCTAAAAGTATATTAGGTCAAGTTCAAGTTTGTCGTCCTAACTGGACATTTAAGAGGCTTGTGGGATTAATTTTTTTCTTGATTTGTACTTAGCGATTCACTTTCAACATTACTCTTAATTTTGTCACGCATCTAAAGTAACACTTCTTAAATGTCAAATATCTAAACGTTTATATCTAAAATCTTGGTATCGTTCCCTTAGTCAAACGGACAAACTGAGGGGTTCTGCAATCCACCGGTGGATATTACGTCTAACTAATATAGTATCTGAAATATTGGCCTCAATAATACCTCGACACTTAACGAAAGCTCGTGAAGAGCAGACTAGAGAAAACCAGGCTGGTTTTCGACCTGGACGCGGCTGTATAGACCGCATTTTCACACTACGACAGGTCCTGGAACACACACATTGAGGCGTCCTACAATAGTTGTGTTACTGGACCTTAAGGCGGCATGTGACTGTGTTAATCGTGAGGTGCTGTGGCAGTGTCAGTCATTGAAAGGTGTACCAAAGAAGTACATTAACCTTATACAAGCTCTCTACTCTTAAACTACTGGTCGAGTGAGAGCTTATGGCGACCTGTCATCGGAATTCTTTACTTCAAGTGGTGTCCGTCAGGGATTTCCACTTTCCCCATTTTTGTTTAATGTTGTCATAGACATGCTCCTAGATATAACCTTATCCTCATCCTACTTTTCAGGAGAAGACTGTCTACCAGGAGGCTCGCTTATTGACTTAGAATATGCCGATGACGTAGTTTTGTTTGGTGAAGACGCTGCGTCACTTATGGTGCAGGCGAGATATCAGTTTGCTGACTAAAGGACGAGTGTACTGTTCAGCAGTTCGCTCTGTCCTACTATACGGATGCGAAACATGGCCGTTAAGAGTAGAGGACTTTCGTAGGTTACTAGTCTTCAATCACCGGTGTCTCCGAAGCATTGCTCGTGTATCCTGGGACCTCCGTATAAGCAATCCTGTCGTTAGGAAACGAGTTCTAGGTGGGGATGGCAAACCGATAGATGAAGCATTGAAACTTCATTTGTTGAGGTGGTTGGGACGATTGTAAGAAGAGTTGGTCGTGAAGATAAGGGGTATGTTAGGGGGTGTAGGAAGGATTTGATTGTGACCAATTTGATCTCGTGTGCTCTTGCGAGTATGATGGCGGTTGTCACTTCCCGGCTTCCCAGGCCAAAGGGTGTTCCTTGAAGAACCTGGAAAGGAAGGGAGATTATTGTTGGTCTTAACGACCTGGAGCGTGAACGCATAGTCCAAGGGACAACTGCTGGAGGCCCTTCCTTGTTGAAGGCAGCATTGCTGCATATGCTGTTTTTGTAAGGGAAACACCTTACTGCTGTCATACCTCTCTACAGTCAGTAGTACGACTTCACCCTCAGACCTTGAGTAGCTTAATCAGTTGGTATGGCATATGCTTTACAACTTCCATGTGCAAATTACTTTTACGAAAATTCCAGGAACTTGAACCTGTACTCACTCTTGCTAATGAGGTGATAGAAACAGTCGGAAATTTCATGTATCTGGGAAGCTGTGCAGGTAGTGGCGTGAATGAGCAGACCTGCACCATAAATGAGCGTTATGTCAACTTGCTTTAACTATTTTGCTGATATGTGCAAACTCTGTTCTTAAGAAAACTGTGTATCTGGGTAGCTGTGTAAAAGCAGGTTCTAGCGTGGCTGATGAGATCAATTGACGTATAGTGAAAGCCGGAGCGGCTTATGCTAATCTGAGTTATCTTTGGCGACTTTGTTTTGTCGGTCTGGTTGTATAACGTTGGGTCTAAAATGTGTCTGTGAGAGCAGTTTTGTTCTACGCTCGTGAAATCTAGTCTCTCCGAGGTAAAGGTAATAGGAAGATTTCTGCGCTCGATCAACTTTGTCTCCGAAAGACTGCTGACATGTAGGGGCAGCACCATGTTAATAGTGCGGAGGTTCGGCAACATGTTTTCGGGCACAGCGACGATAATTTAATCGGTAATACCATCTTCATGCACCAACTTCGGTGGCCCGGACGTGTACTACGCAAGTCGTCTCAATGGATTCCACATCGCGCATTGTTCGCCAACGCTGAAACTGGCTGGAAAAAGCGGAGAAGTGGCCGGTGTATGACATATCATGGTATGGAAGAAAGCTTTATGGGACTAGCATCCTTTGGTCCTTCATTACTCCCTGTTTGGAGTTCTAGAGATGATGCGGCTTACATGGTTGAGAATAGAAGCGGGTTATTCTTTCCTAACGATGACCGATCACAATGTGGTACTCATCATTGTGTCTCTATTTTGGAGGCCCACAGGTTAGTCAATGTTCTTTCCTATGCTAAAATAAACAACCGTCTCATGATAATTAAGTTGTGTGATCACCATTGACCTCTTCCTGTGCCGAAACCACAGAAGAATCACCTTAATGTCTTCTAGTTCAGCTTATCCTATCTAACTGAAGCTAAAATCCTAGGGCACCTATTGTGGTGGTGGTGTTCGGTTCTCTCAGCTGGGTGTTTTGGTTGTGGAGATTTCATTGCTCTTCTGAACAACATCATCAGCACAAACTTCAGATAGAAGTGAAGCATTCGAATTTCTCCATGTTTGACCTGTAGCTTGTTCTGCTAACCTCGATCTTGATTGGTTGCTGTTGACCTTTAACCTGTCGTTGTTTGCACCTTTGTTTTGATTGCATCCCCCTTTTGACCCCCTTTTTGACATATTTATAAAAAATGTTGAAACGTTTTCTGTAAATCACTTGTAAAACGCAATAAAATGTGAATCGTTATACTAACTACTAATTTCTCAGCTAATAAAATGATTGTCAGCTTAGGAGTCGTTTTTTCGAGTCTGACTGATGTTCAGGTTGTTATCATTAATTGTCAGTTTCATATCGGTGTCATAGCTTGGAGAAATTCGGTTGGGTTTAAACCATACTGTTATCCTTGCGGATATGAGACCATTCATTAGCCTCTACAATGATATATTAATTTTTTTCTACCATCAAACTGTAACATGTATGTGGGACGCACAAATTTACATGTTTTAGACCAAGATAGCTTCTGTAACTTTATACATGGTTGTAATTTCTAAAAAGACTCATTATTTATTAAGACTGTAGTTTGCAGCTTCCAGATTATGGATGCGCACAATTTTATTATCCCACTTCATGTTACTTTAAATATTAACTGGTCGACTACCATAAATATTTCAATTAATTCTGTATGTTTTTAGACATTAGCCCAGTTTCGGGATGAAGAAATGGAGCATCACGATACAGGCCTTGAACATGATGCTGAACAGGTAAATTATTATAAATGCATGATTGATAAATATAAATTAAAAATCAGTCTATTTTAACACCAAGTAAACTGTTAACAGTATGTATTTTTTTAATTTGATTGTTAAACAGACTATGCATCTTTTAACATTCTGATGATGTAATTATCTACTGTCTGTTATTTACTTGATCTGTAGCATTAACATCTCCCTACGCATGTGGCTTTTTATGACTAATAAACCTAAAGCTGTGACTGATTACTTTCAATTTTATAATTTTCAAACAATTAGTTTCTTGGTCATTAATAGAAAAGCTGGTATTGTTATGAATCATTCTCTCATACATCACAGGCTGGTATGAACACTTTCTCTGTCCTGTGTCAATACAATAGTGAAATAAAGATAAATCTAAATAACATACTGACAAAGAATATTAGAATCATACGGGTTTTTTTGTACAATAATATTTAATTTTTCCTTTTTTTCTTTTATCGTTTTCCTTGTTAGTCAAAAACATTTTATGGGGTTATCAACAACCATAAGTAAAACGTATTTATTATTCATTGTTTTTGTGAAACACAATCATTTGATGACAGTTTCATTTACACAGAACATTATTGAAAATATATTTAACGTGATTCAGTCAGTCAGTTACAACGTAGAATTTCTTACGTACATACAACAGTTCATGTCGCCATACCACATTAGCACAGAGACGCAATCGTCAATTCAAATCCGCATAGTAGCAGAAGTATTAGCACTAATCGGAGAGTTCAAAGATATTATTCAAAAAGTATAACCTAGTGAAGTAACCTTAAAAGTAGAAGGATAAAGGTGATTGGGGATTCAGAAGATTAGAAGCCAACGAATGAATGCACCTGCGCCAACGCAAATAGTTTTCAGTCATGTCATTCAAGGTCTCTAATCATCTTGCAGACCCCAACCACGTAGTCTACGTCTGCCAACACGACTCAGTCCAGTTATCAGTGAATTCATCGATTTGTCCCATGTTTTGGTTTTGCCGTCCCTAGCTTTTTCCATCCTACTCCGAAACCACAAAACATCGCCTGTCGAGTCAGTCGGTGGCTGGGCATTCGTAACACATGTCGCAAGCACTTCAACTGATGAAGTTTCACTACTTCATCTATTGATTTGCCATCCTTACCTAGAGTAGTCGTCTCCTAACAGTAGCACTTCTTACTCGGTGGTCCCGGGATGTACTTGCGATTCTTCTGAGACACCTATGATCGAAAATCAGTAAGTACCAGAGAAGTACACTAACACTATACAAGCTCTCCATCGAAACACTACTGGTCGAGTGAGAGCTTATGGTGGACTGTCATTGGAATTGGTTACTTCCAGTGGTGTCCGTCAAGAATGCGCACATTCTCTATTCCTGTTTCAATTTGTTATAGACATACTTGTAGAGGTAACATTATCTTCGTCTGACTTTTCATCAGTTCACCTTCTGTCAGCATACTCGCTTATTGACTTAGAATATGCATATGACATAGATCTGTTTGGCTTAGATGCTGACAAAATGAATCCTATTGACCATCGTATGCGGCAATACAGGTATGTTCAGGATTCGATTCTTCTCCCTGAAATGTAAAATGTTTCTTCATGATTGGTCCACAGCACCACCCGAACTAGTGATAAAGAGTGAAGCAGTTGAGCACGTTGACCACTTCACTTATCTGGAGAGTCTCATCAGTGCTGATGGCTTGGTGACTGACGAAATCTCAGCACGGATACAGAAGGCTCGATCGGCTTTTGCCAACTTGCGTCACTTATGATGTAGGCGAGATATACGTTTGCTAACGAGAGGACGAGTGTACTGCGCAGCAGTTCGCTACGTTCTACTTTAGGGCTGTGAAACATGGCCGGCCAGATTAGAGGACATTCGTAGGTTATCAGTATTTGGACAACGGAATAAGCAGTGCTATAGTTAGGAAACGAGTACTAGGTAGGGAAGGTGGTTGGGACGTGCTACGAATGCCTATCCACCGACTTCCAGGACGAGCTATTTTGTGGTGTAGGAGTAGGTTGGAAGAAAGCTAGGGGCGGCCAAACCAAAACGTGGCACAAATACATGAAGTCACTGACAAGTGAATTAAGTCATGTTGGTAGATGTAGGCTATGTGTTTGGGGTCCGCGAGATAAGACACCGATTGTTAGGAACCTTGAACGACATGATTTAGGTATATCCACTCTTTGTATTCTCGTGAAATTCTTATCTTCTGAATTCCTCATCGCCTCTATTTTTCTCTTCTTAAATCTATTTCAGTGAATTATATTTCTTGAATAATACCTTCGAACCTTAATTATCTCCATCACTGCTAATACTTCTACTATCTCTACTACTATGGGATTAGAATTGACAATTGCGTCTCTGTTCCCATGTGGTATGGCAACATGAACTTGCGTACGTGCGCAAGAAGTTCTACGTTGTAACTGACTGACTGAAAACCAGTAACCTACGAATTTTCGCACTTCTTACTGGTCATGTTTCACAGCCCTAAAGTAGGACGGAGAGAACTGCTGCGCAGTACACTCGTCCTCTCGTTAGCAAACGTATATCTCGCCTACATCATAGGTGACGCAGGTTGGAAACAGCCGATAGAGCCTTCTATATCCGTGCTGAGATTTCGTCAGTCACCAAGCCATCAGCATTGATGAGATTCTCCAGATAAGTGAAGTGGTCAACGTGCTCAACTGCTTCACTCCCTATCATTTAACGTGACTAAATAAATAGGACTCATTGACGCCTATTTTCTATTTTGTGTAATTGCTTGCAAGTAAGTTTCGGATAAATCAGAAATATTGGAAAACGTGCTTACTTCTATCACATAATTCACATTGATTGTACCATCATATTTTTATTGATAAACAGTAGAAAGGAATAACAGGAAAGTGAAAAATTCATTTAAATTTGTTGAAAGTTAGTCCTTGTTATTCATTCTCGATTTAATCAGTTTCTTCTCCTTTAATCTTTATCCATCTCTCATACAGTCGATAACTTACCAGTTACTTTCTAATTAACGGCAGTAAAACTTAATTAAACTGTTTGCTTTTTATTTACTTAGTTTACTGTATAGCTGTCAGCAAAACTAATATTTTCGATCATATTATTAAACAAAGAAAATAGACATCAATAATTGCTTCATATCCAACCAAATTATATGAGTATTTTACTGGGTGGTTGAAGCGACAACATATCCTTAGTAACATAATTTTACCTAATCAAAGTATGGTGCGATATGTACAGTTTTCAAATTCACTTGCTGTAGATAAATCCAATCTAGATTGAAAGAAATCTTCGTCTGAAACCCTTATGTACATGGCAGTGCCTAGTTGAATCATGTTTATAGTATTTTTAAGTACCTAATTTTATGTAGTTGTTTATTCTTCATATCTAAACTGCACTCTTGTCACGTTCTCTAATAATCTCTTACTACATATTTCAGGCTCCTTTCTACAGTATCATGTCTCAAATAATAAAAGCGGGTTGTCGAGCAAGTATCTTTTTGGCTGAACGTATATGAAAAAAGATCAGTTTCAATAACAGTCGTTTTTCCTTTTTAATGGTTACTCTCTAAATTACGTATTTGTATTTTATTACATGTGATGTAAATCTTTTCATAGATTTTTAATCTTCTCTAATGCTATAGTCTATTTATCTGCATTCCAACTGTTTGTTATCATTTTCTACTGAAGGGAAGTTTAATTTAGCCTGAAGAAGGTTCGCGGATTGTTGTGCGTAGGTTTCGTCATTAAGGACTCTTGCATCATTCAGTCCTAGGTTGTGTATTATATCATGCTTCATGTGCATTACAGTAGAAGGTTTTAAGTATGAAAAACTTCAGCGATTATCTTTCGTTTGTTGAAACCACAGAACATATATTTATGCACAACAAAAATCACAATGATTCTTCAAATGCTGATAACAGTTGTCGATGTCTACGTGTTTTCAGCTGCAGAGATTGATGTGTAATTCTGCTCTTGTGACGTTTATGCCGAGAATATTTCATTTTATTCTTTTTCGGGCGTATATTCAAGTTTATTTGTGTCTTGTTCTTCCATGGTTTAGAGAAAAGGGAGTCGCATATACAACAGATGATTTTTATCTGATCAGATGACACTTAATATGATTTCCAATCAATATATACAACCACCTGACCGTAGCTGCTACACCTCACCTTACCTCACGGATTTCCATCTCTAGCGGTAAGGGTTGCCCGATAAGGGCTTTTAAGAGCGGAGCTGATACTCAAAAAACCTTTCATAAGAATGTCGTACGTGACCGGCCTCAAGCAGTTGTCCTTTGCACTCTGTGTTCACGCTCCCAAGTCTCTAAGACCAACACTGAGTCAACTTCCTTTTTTCGGTTCCAGGAAGTGTCACCCTCCCTCACATCCTTAACAGCACACGGGATCAACGCGCGACATTTGTATTGAAAATTTAGACTTTGGTGTTGGTTGACAGTTGTTCTGATTTCCAGATGTTGTTCATTTGTATTGACGCTGTCCTTGCTTTCTTGATCCACGCCTTTACATATGCACCAGACTCACCTTGCATTTCAAGATGCTGCCCATATACGTAAATGTTTTTATGTCCTCCAAGGCATCTCAATCAAAAGTGATTTGGTTGATGCATATTGTGTTGTATCGGGTAATCGTGCTTTTCTCTTTATGTATGTTAAGACCTGCTGCGGCTACCAAAGTCGTCAAATCTTGCATTTCTTTTTGCGTGTGTGATAGAACAGCCAGTTGATCTGCGAAGTCGTCCAGCTGCATCCTGGCTGTCCACTGTGACCCGTTTTTCCCTTTTAATGTTGATATTTTCATAGTCCTGTCGATAACCAGGGGCAAGATAGAGGGTGAAAAGAGGCGACCCTGTCTGACACCGGGCTTCACCTCGAAAGAGGCTGTCAGCTGTCCTCCGTGCACGATTTTAAAGTTTAATCGATCATAAGAATTCCTTATGGTTTTGATTGTCTTCTCAGTCGACGAAGCCCCAAAAATAATTGTGGGTTAAACTTTCTGTGAAATGTAACAGTGATTGACTTACAAGGTAATAACCATGGTTTTAGTTCATTTAAAGTGAGTATGTCGTTCTTATCAACATCAAGACTATTGAACTGTTCTTGTAGATAGTTATTTTGTGATAAACCTCGATAAGCTAAATAAATAGATAATAAATTTGCCAAAAATGAACTGTTGCGTGATACATGTAGTTTTCAGTGCTATCGAATTATTCAAAAAATAACACACCAAATAAGTGATAAAACTAGTGCGAAATGTTACGTAAGTCACATTTCCTTTATCCATTTACCTGTCAGTGAAAAATGTAATGATAACCTAATGAAATATAGGAATTGACGCTTCGTTTTGCGGTACCGAGGTGGCTTAAAGTGTTGTGAGACAATCGTAACCGGTGGTTAGAGACTTTGAACAACATGTCTCGAAATCTTTTGCAACGGCGCATGTGCATCCATCCTTTGTCTTCGCTCAAATTCTGTTCTTCTGAGTTCCTCATGCCTATTTCTTTTTCTTCTTCAAGATAAAATTCATACTGACCACTTAAATTAAAGTAAATTATGGGAATATAAGAATATGTATAACCCACAGATGAAGGAGTACAGCAAAAAAGAAGGAATAGTTGTTGAGTGAGCTAATACTGACTCGATCGAACAAGGAAGAATACTTTGTGACGCATCTTGGGGTATGAGTCGTCCAATTGTGTCGTAAAATTGTCGACCTAATATGCGTTGCATAAGCTTTCTGATTCGAATGCTTGAGTAACCATCGGACTGGTAGCATGACATTTTATCTTGCCTGGTATGAAGAATGACGTGATAAGATGGCCAGCTGACTTGTGAGGATCGCATCACACGGTGGATGCCAGTTCGGACCTGGTTGTTTGTGCTACCTTACTACACTTCCAAGTATCACCGGATCGAAGGTTCAGTTAAATGATGATTAGGATATCGAAGACTGAGTGGATCAAGTTTTCGGAGAGATGGGCTGCCAAACTGTGATCTAGTACGAGTTTGCGAGCTAGTATAATCAAATGATTTCTTTGCGCTCGATTGTTGTTCCTTCGGTATAGTTCCAGATATTTGATTCCTATAGGCCATTCACTTTAATCTAAGAAGTGACTAAATGTAATATAAAGCAGATGGTAATATCTGAGGCTTTACGAAGCCCCGAATTTCGATGTTGGTTCTTGTATCAAGCTAATAGAAATCCTTTTTTGATTTTCGGGTGACTTTTTGAAGAATAAAATTGAATAGAAACATATAGCAAAATAACTGAAATGTGATACGGATTTCTGAGAGGTAAATTGATATTTGTACATCTTTAAATATTTAAAACTTTTAGTGTTTGACATCATGAAAACACTCTTGTATTACAAGCTGAAAAAACATAAGAATGCTCAGTATAATATTATCTCTTTTTTATGAAGCTCTCTTCACTTTACCGTACCCGTAGTTACTTTGTAAGATGCTTTGCCTTAATATTCTGGACATTATTCATTTTATGAGCGCATAATTCAGCCAAATATCCACAAGGCAGATATTCTGGCTTGTAGACATGGTTGATTTCAACGTTTGTTAAACTTATTTGTTACTAGACTGATGTTTCTGAACTACTGTAGCTGACTGTCGACGATGTAGCTGTGTTACTTACTCAATGTGATGTACTTGCTGCACTTCTATCCGCTGCTGATCACAATCTGGATTCTGAACTTTCTTAATCATCAAGAATTAGTAAAGAATCAAGGAAATCTTGCTGGTGATGATTTAAAAAGTACACAGCATAGGCATGACTACAGTGACTGAGCGATGACGTCTACTTCTCAGTCCATAGTTAATCTGCATTGACCTATACCTTATCATCGACGATCCGAATTTCATCGATCATTTCTCTTATTTGAGGGTTTATCCTACTGGATAGTTCGTTCAGTCGTGTTCCTGTCTTCTGCCACTAATCAAATGATGAGAAATCCTGATGAGATAAATCGAAACCCAATGAGTCCAGAACTATAAGATGCTTCGTGAAATAGGGGGCGGGGGCAAGTTGTGTAACTTGTGTAGGAAGAACTAACGAATACTTCATGCAATTCGTACACATGCAACAGTCCATATTTACAGTACGTTTACGGAATCATTTTTGTCTTCGTGCTTATCAAACTGTATTTTACAGCCCGGATGGTAGACTGCTGGTTGAAATCAGTTGAATTGAAACATATTCACTCTGGTTCTCATCGTACCTGAAAGAGTTTATCAAATATATGAACTTAAACTTGAATGAATGGACGTGACCATACTGACTGCTCACCGATAATCGTAAACCACGAGTTTTGGATGAAGTGATAAAATATCTTCGGTCATCAGAATAAAATAATGAGTTTGGTAGCGTTTGATTTAAAAATTATTCTGTATGAGTCTGATAAAAAGAAAACAGGGCATTCTTCTGTATATACTATGTTGCTATTTGTTGTCGACAATTTCGTCGACCTCATTATCATTATTATTTTCGCATTTTCAACCTGGTAATATCTTGGTACCTTACAAAGTAAGTTCGAATTAAATCATCCGGATGTTCTCAGTCTCCATTCATGAGATTTCGAAAAATTTATACTGCAATTCGACACCGTTACGCCTTCCAGTAAAACCGACCAAAGTAAAACATTTTATTACTGTCTTAAAACGACTAGTCAAAATATAAACACATTTACTCTGACTATAATATGCCGCAGACTCGCGAAAAGCTTGAGTAGGATCTCCACAAAAGAACAGATTCAAGTGACGGAAAATGTGTTATCGACCGTCTCCTCAACATCGTGATAGACAGTGCTCATCATAAGCATGCTCTCAATGAAGTTAGCTCAAGTTACTAAGTCTGTATAGATTATACTACAAATCAACTGACTTTCGACCATATCTCAGCCGTTTTTGAATTATTAAACTGAGTGATTACTAAGCAGTACGCTTTGGCAAGCGATACTTGAAAATTATTGGATCAAAATTACTGAGGACAATTATGATGACGATTTACTGACTGTTAGTAATTAATTGTCAGTAGATTAGTGTCACCGTTAAGTTTCTGGTCTGTCCTTCAGAACCAGAGGCAAATGTTGTCTAGTATTCTCCGTCGCAAGTATTGATCACTTACCTTGTCCATTCATATCTAAGGCTGTCAAAAATAAAAGATATAATGGCAAACGAACATTTATCTAAAATATTTTCAGGCGGCTACTGTTATCCGGGTTTCCATAACAGGTCAGCATAGGTTTTTAGTTTTTCTGAAATTAAAACTTGATCGATATATTCATCTAATGTCTGCATTTTGAGAATCAAAATGCCCTTCAAGTGGAGGCTTTTTTTAACTAATCAAGATCTCCTAATGTGTCCTGCCATCCTCGATGTTAATAAGTTTGTTTTGACCTTTAGTTCGTCGTTATCTACCTCTTCGTTTTTGATTGTATCCTTCTTTGGTTTGATTTTTGATTCTATAATCCCGCGTATATCCACAGTTGTCGACATGTATCATTAGGGAAGAAAAATCATGATATTTGACTGCCAAATCATCCTTACCCATGCAAAGAGAAAGGGGAGGTCCACTTTGTCTTATGTTTTTAGCAGGTTCACCAGTTCATTTTATCGATGATGTTCGTTTCTTCTTTTTACACTTTGTTCTTCGGTTCACATGAGATTTATTCTAGTAACCTTGCTGACATATGTGATACACCTACTCCTAATATCTTCACTAATCTTTTTCAATTTCCGTTATGTTTTTTATATATGGTAGGATGATCCGACTGTCGAATACTGTATTTGAGCTGGTTTCTGCTGGTGAGTGAGGTTGATGTTCTTCAGTTAAATTGAGTGAGTAGCCACCGTTTGATAGCATAGTTGGCAAATACTTTTCCACGCTGCTTTGTGTCCTCACCCTCTTGAAAAAAGTTTACACGCACTTGTTGCTACTGAAGTTGAGAGTTAGATTTGTGTCGGTTGGCTCGGCATAAACTTAATCTCCAGTTTTCCTATGTCGGTTTCCATGGTTAATATTGTGGCGGCCAGTTTCAACGTGTTCTTAATCTTCGTAATTAGCTCATCTAGGCGATTGTCATCAAATAGCGCCTGACGGTTATAAATCAGAAGTGTCTATTTCGTTTATTTTTAGCACACCTCACAATGGGACAGTAGACCACAAGCAGACAGGGCAGACACGCTAGCGGGCGAATATGCGAATTGACTAATGAATTGATGAAGCGAATGGGAGAAGGCTAGTGAGCCAACTCCACGGGATGAAGCTTGACTAAGAATTTATAGTCAGACAAATATAAGACACACATGTAGTAAGCGAGTAGGCATGCATACATATGAATACAAGAGACGAATGAATTACAAGGTCAAAAGACAATTGAGACAAGTAATGTGAGCTAGACATTGGAAGACTAACTACAATATGTCCAGAAACCACAACTTGCTGTCTGAATTCTTTTTCACTGGGGTTTTTACTGGGATTAGATTGTAGATATATTCCAGTTTGTATGTTTTGGTAACAAATATTTTGTCTACATAACGAACCCGACGGTAAAAACGAAACTTCTAGTCTCTGCTTCCACTGCCTCTGTATTAAGTCCTGTTTTTGGTGATCATGTTGGTGTTCCTTCCGTTTATTTCATAAATTTTGTTATTGGACTACAAATATGTTGTTAAGCACATACTGATGTGTTCTAGCAGACTTTTACATCAAACTTTTATTTACTTTGGGCGATTTTTGTCGTTGGTGGAGAGCAGAGATCCAATCCCTTTTGCTTTGTTTGGTGCGGATGGCGTTCATAAGATTAGTACTTGGTCAGTTCATAGTTATCAGTTTGGATCACCTTAACTTTATCTAAGAATGGTATGAGGAATTCAGCAGGGTGTTTCTATGAAATGACTAAATCTTACAGTATTCGAGAAATTACTTCTGATAAGTTGTGTATTAGGGTTTGGAGGTAGGATACAGACTGACGTGGTTGAATATTGTGTCGGCGTAATTTCTGTCTACCGTAGAATCAAAGGATAGCTGTTTAATCTAATTTCATTCGCAGGTGATCTTATTTTAACATTTGTCTTGCTTTAGAAAACTCGTTAAATGTCGTTTATATTTGTTCGTCTAGCTTGTTTCTTGGAAGTGTGTCCATTCGATTACAGATACTTCAGTCCTCATGTAGTTCTTCTGCTATTCTGGTGTATCCTTCCTTGTTCATAACCACTCATCTGTTCCATACGTCCACTAGCATTCGATCGTCTGTCAAGCTAATCATCACCAGTAGTGTCACATACAGCTAGGTCAAACAAAACTTTCTAAGATCAAAATCTTTGCGGATTTAATATACTTTTGTATGGCATCTGCCAGAAATCCAGTACTACTCTGTCACATTGCAGTAACGGTAATTTAACGGATAGGACTTAGTTTAGCTGTATCATTGGAACTATTTTATCTACTACTTTCTGTCCCTAAATAAAATACTTGTTTAAACAATACCCATCTCGTTCCGGTTGAGCCTCTAATTGAGTGGATAGTTTGATGGTACGACTGAAAGCCAAAAGCCTCTCATCAGTTGTAAACATACCTGTAAGACGGGTATCCGTAGATAAGTCTCGAAAATAAGTAGTACTACAGGTTATCAACACTGATGCTGACCTTAAATGAAAGCTCATGGGCATTTACTACTGTTAAGTAAGTCAATTCACGCATCTCGCACCACGCGGCTTGGATCACTTCTCAGCATCCCGAATATAAAACAAACTTGTCTTTCATCGCCTTCATTCCTGACTTCTGGTTGAACTTGACTGTGACTATTCTCAATATGAAAGTTTTTACGGAAAAAGGTATTGTTGAACTCAATATAAATGACATCTTGAGAGTCCAATGTTTGGAGGTCTGTCGTTAAACTTAGAAATCGTTCGAATTAACCAAATGATTTTTCTGGGGTTCAGTAACATTTCGTCAGGCCTGTAATATTTCGCCTCTGACGATGTCAAGGATATTCAGGGTGTTATCCATAACACCTCGCAAATTTAAATGATCCAAGGCTACATTAAACCATTAGTCAGGAACAAAGGCATTCGAAGGATAGGATGTTAAGCAGTTATCTGTGCTGATTAGTTGATGCGAGGAGGTGCATTATGTGGCTTACGTAGTTGTGATCTGGTATGAACTCTTAACTGAGAGCTTTCAGTTTGGGCGTGTAAACAAGATACATTTGTTTTTGGGATTTATTTATGCCACATCGCCTGCAGGAACAGAACTTAAGACAATGACTAATTGAAACATCTGGAAGTCGTGTACCGCTTGCACCTCTTGCCATATTTTGCCAACTCATATATACTTGCAGAGCACGAATCGTTTTAGACGTGCACTGATTTTAAGAAGACTTGGAAGTTCATTTTGAAATCGGACGAATGATATTCATTATTCGTATGTTCATACCGAATCAAATCTATGAGACGAATCTTTTCAATGGTTTGCTATTTTAGAATCCACTGCTTTACGTGCGACTGTTATTGAACTATTGAATAGTTACCGGAAAAGTTGGCACAATCGTTACACAACTGTAGACTCGTTAAAGCATTATGTAAATACTTAACCTTGAGTTATTGGTCAGTCTCATTTTTACAAAAAACCGTAACTTATTGTGTACTAAATCCTCTTAAATCACTAGCAATGAACAAGTAAACCCTTGCTCATTTGAGAAAACAGATGGGTTGTTTTTCATTGTAGTATGTGCTGACTTTCTATTTTCAAGATTTCACAGAAAGTGTTGATGCCGCATGTGCGGGTGAGTAGCTCTTGTCGTTGGCCTGTAGACGGAATCAATCTAAATTTGTTGAATTGTAGTTTTATTGTGGTGTTTCCGGATATAGTAAGTTTTAAAGGAAGCGAAAAAGTACAATATGATGACAGTGTGGCAGTAATTTATGAACCATTTTAATCGACTTCAAGGAGTTTTTAGGAATTTCTCCTGCTCACAGGCTTAGAAAGGGTTGATGTGCGAAGAGCTAGAGTGGGGATTTAAAAGTCAGTATTGGGGTTTTAACCTGGAATACGGCATCATCGCTTACTCCAAAATGCTCTTTATCCAAATAAATGAGTGAATTTCTTGATAAAATCTGGAACAGTCTTAAATGTAACTCGTTCGTCTCAAAGGTTTAATCTCGTCTAAACATTTTTTCAAAATGACGAGTAATCCTCACGTTTCCTCTATACATGAGGTTGGGAAGTTTGATTTCGTATTTATTCGGTTTCGAATGTATGCTTGGAGACGGTGCCAAACAATTCCATTCAAACATCATAGGATTAAACTTCTCGCCAAAACATTATAGATCACTGGGACTAAGTTTTCGGCCGCATTTAAAATACTTAAGGTGATGTTGACTGAAGAACAATTTAAAAAAGCTCCAAAATAGTATTGCATCCAAACTCTTTTCTCACCTAACGCTTGGTCCCTGTTTTTTTTCTGCGTTCTATTTTGTTTACTACGAATAGCTCGACAACTTTACCCGATTGCTTCCAGCAACTACCGCTTACTTACACCATAAATTCTTATAATCGCAGTTTGGTTTTTGGAACTTATTGTAACCACAACAAAAAACTAACTGTCGTGGCCTCAGAATACAAGTAGCTAGACCTATTACTCTCAAATCTGGTTAATATCTAAAAATCTTTCCAGAAAACTTGGTTTTTATTGGTTTGTTTTTGATACATATAGAGTCGCTTCATTTACGCGCTAAACTTTAAGTGGGTTACAGAAAGCGAATGCAATCCAATCTGTAGAGTAAAAAATCTGTATAAAGCAGTTCCGGTTTTACTCCATTACAGTGGTTTAAATGAGAAACTGATTTCCGAACCTCACTACCATTCCTCACCATTTTTCGATATAAATATTACAGACTCTTAAGTAGGATGTCTACTCTAAAGTTTTATCTTCTCTGTGTATTTGAGTCACATGATTCTTTTAATCTGCAAGTAGTAACATCCCGTACAATTTACTTTCTGTTGTAGCTGTGATAGAACTATTATTGATGCTCCAAAAAATGTCTTTTTAATTTACTTGTAGCTAAAAATGGTAGGCACAAAGGTTTTGTCTACGTAAAATAAGTACTTCACGTTATCTTTTTTCTGAATATATATATTGTTTACAGAATCAATGAGTCTCGACCTACTTAGGTTAGTTGATTTAGAATACACGTCACCAAACAATGCTATTCGGACAAGTTAAGATTTGACCACTTAGGCCATCAACTAAATAAGTTTCTATCTTATTCTCACCCGTCAAAATTAGAACATGTACTGTCAGCACGACTCCGACTCAAAAAGTTTTTGCTTTTTGTGATTGTGACCAATTTGGTCCCGCGTGCTATGACGGGTATGAGTGTGGATGTCACTTCCTGGTTGCCCTAACCGTGGAAGAGTGTTTCTTGAGGAACCTGAAAAGGAAGGTAGATTAGTGTTAGTCTTAGAGACCTGGGAGCGTGACCGCCGAGACCAAGGGACAGCTGGTTGAGGCTTGTCACGCATGGCCTTTTTAAAGTAGGTTTTTGAATTGTTGCTTCGCTCTCGTTTCAAGAGCCTTACCGCTGGAGACGGAAATCCGTGAGGTAAGGTGAGGTGTGACATTATTAAGGTCAAACTTTTGTAAACCCTTCCTTCCTTGTGAGAATGCAGCATCGCTGCAGATCCTGGTTGTGTGGGGGAAACACCTTACTGCTTTCACACCTTTCTACAGTCAGCAGTACGACTTCTCCCTCAGACCTTGATTATCTGCTTTTAGTCTGATCGTTCTCCAGTCGACCTGCCTGGCATGGTAGAACGTACAGGAACATGTGTTCGGTTGGATCATCACGGTAGGAAGTCCCCATTACCACGTCAAGGTAGTAGCTACGGTCGGGAGCAGCTACAGTATGGCAACCTCAGCTGATGTACTCACGTACGAAGTTATAAGTTGCAAATGACTAACTGACAATGTAAACTGACACGTTTGTGAAATGCATTGAAAATCGTGAAGCCGGAATTCAAAAGTTGTTGGGTTTAATTTACGAGTTATTTCGCATTTACCGGTCCGCTGGTCCGATGTACCGCGACCCACTGACACAATGCCTTTGACAGTTATATTTTTCCATGGCGACCCCATCAAACAAATGATAGCCGGAAAAGTTGCTTAACAGAAGTTATGGTTTTCTGATAAGCTCTTTCACAGGAGTTTGTTACCCGCAGCGAAAAGTCTATTTTATTCTTTGGGGATTATAGTTAGGCCAAAGTAATAGAAATCTACACTAATTTGCGCGCTGTTGAGGCGTTTGCGGCTACTGATCGGTTCGCTATCTGTGATATCAGTGTCGCCCCGGGTGGGGCCTTTGAGTTCCTTTGTTACTCAAACCGATCGAGTTACAGGTGTCCACTTTGTTGATCGTGATGGAACTTGTTCATCACTGCGAATCTGGGTTAGAAAAATACTCAGGTGCTTCTGAGATGCCGTAAAGTATTTATAATCCGACTGTAACATGACAATAATAGCTCGGATAACAACAAACCAATCTCTAGGTCTTTCTAGTGGTTCATCAAATCCAACGACAGTATACGTATCTGCTCGGCATGATCATCGTCGGTAAGATCGTCATGTCCCAGCTTTTCTAGGCGTTTCAACCGGTAGGCGACGAAGCGGACTATCCTGTCGTCCCGTGCCCTATGGTTTGACCAGGAAAATATCCATGGTTCGCCTGAACTAATGTGGCCGCAATGTTGTACCCGATCTGGAACAATTCAGGATCACCAATTGTAGTGATAGACGGCGTGCCATCGACACCTCGTCGTCACCAACAATAAATACGCTGGAAGATTTTATTAATACCCAAATTTTAGTGAAAAATACACCGACCACGATAAGACAGTGAGTAAAACCTCCCTGCCAGTCACTATATATACAAGGCTATGTAATTACACTTCAGCAGAGAGCGGATTCACCCCACTCACGACGGTACCAAGGAACCTGGAGGCAACTATGATGGTCAAGATGAATGATTAACTGAGAATCTCATTGAATTACCTAACTGTCGAAGTAACCAATACTAGGCACTTGAGCAAATATAAGCTAAGTTTTAAGTATAATCCAAAATAATTGTGGGTTAAACTATCTGCGAAATGTAACAGTGATTGACTTACAAGGTAATAACCATGGTTTTAGTTCATTTAAAGTGAGTATGTCGTTCTTATCAACATCAAGACTATTGAACTGTTCTTGTAGATAGTTATTTTGTGATAAACCTCGATAAGCTAAATAAATAGATAATAAATTTGCCAAAAATGAACTGTTGCGTGATACATGTAGTTTACAGTGCTATCGAATTATTCAAAAAATAACACACCAAATAAGTGATAAAACTAGTGCGAAATGTTACGTAAGTCACATTTCCTTTATCCATTTACCTGTCAGTGAAAAATGTAATGATAACCTAATGAAATATAGGAATTGACGCTTCGTTTTGCGGTACCGAGGTGGCTTAAAGTGTTGTGAGACAATCGTAACCGGTGGTTAGAGACTTTGAACAACATGTCTCGAAATCTTTTGCAACGGCGCATGTGCATCCATCCTTTGTCTTCGCTCAAATTCTGTTCTTCTGAGTTCCTCATGCCTATTTCTTTTTCTTCTTCAAATTAATTTCACAGGGTTATACTTCTGTAATCATACCTTCGATTGATAATCTTTTCCGTTAGTGCTAATACTTCTACTACCTCTTGTCTATAGCCCTGCTAAGATTCGGTGTGCGACATTATAGGGACTTATTCAAGAGATTTATCTCTAGGCAAATCGAATTCCACATATAATGTCCGATAATATCTCTTCTCCTTAAATCCCGAATCAAGGTATATTGTTATTATCACTGGTTGATTATACTTTCGCTTTTCGACTTCGGAATGCTTACATGTTGATTTTTAATAGTATAAATGATTATGAGGTTCTAATAATAAGTGAAGGAACAAATAACAACTTACAAAAATTTGTAAACTCATCTCTCGTGATCACACTATCACCATTTTGATCGTACCTTCGATTGATAATCTTTTCCGTTACCGCTAATATTTCTGCTCCCTCTACCACTATGAAGTTTGAATTGATAATTCCATCTCTCTGTGCCAATGTGGTATGGCAACTTGGACATATGTACGTACATAGCGTGTTCTATGTTTCAGCTGAGTGACTGAGTTCTGAATTGTATGTTTAGTCGGTAATCAGGTGCTTGTTGTCCGTGCTGTTAATCAGAAATCGTTTGATCGAAATAACTATGATTCTCGTACGGGTGATGATCTTATTTATCTTCCTCTTATTTTATTAAAGTGTATAACTTTCTGCTGTTCAAGATATTTTGATTTAAATTTTGATTTTTCAGTCTTATCGAAGCGCATCCTAGGTTTCTGTATTCTTCAGCCTATTGTAGTCTCCTGGATTCAGTATATCGAAGTTACAGTCTTCAAAAAGCAAATAAACAAAAGCAATCGATAATGATTTGGGTTTTCCTATTTGTTTTATACTCTTTCGTTCTATGTGATGACGAAAAATTAGATGCTCATTTCAATGGAGGTAAGTTTTCAAGTTGTGAAGAATGGAGGTAATTGTGACCCTGTAAACTTACTGAGTCCGATTATTTAAAACCTGCCGTTTTATAAATTATGGTGATCATTATGTTCCAAATGAGTATTTTCTAAGCTTATTTCATTTCATAGGATAAGATAGGTTTGTCGCGATTTGTTACTAGTGGGGTTTTAATACATTGAAACAAGTCTGATATGTCAGTATTGTAACTTGAACTAAGTACTGATTACTGTTACCAATACGTCTTTTTGCTATGTCTGCGAACTACTACTACTACAACGGTACAAGACTACTTTGTTGACGTAGGAATGAAAACAACACAATAAAGGCAGGCTGATTAACTCACCGACTACTAATTAAACGACATCCAGAATAATTACATAATTTAAATATTTGGTAAATCAATAGATTTGAATTAGTTGTACCAGTAACGAATCAGTAATTTGTTGCGAGATCAATGATTTACCTGACTTGACTGGAAAATATAATTCACCACTAAAGCATTAGTTTTTTTATTCCTAACACTGATTGACATCAAGAATTTTATTTGTTGTGTCAGACAGACAGACAGATACAACGCAGAACTTTGTTGTGTCAAATTTACCTACTGCTATAAAAGAATAAAATGCATTCTTGTTTTTAAATAATAATGTCTCAGCTACTCATCCAAACCACACTGAACTAGTTAGTTACAATAAGATGGTTTGTTTTATGCATACTGAAAACATTCAGTAGATTGAATCATCACACCAACCGACAAAAAACAGTAGAAGAAAGAGTATAAAAAAAGGAAAACATGAGGGTGGCGATATTAACTTCATTGTTTGAGGATTTAAACTAAACATCTTTAGGAAACAACTTCTCATCCTAAAGCATTCATCATTTTAAAAATTACACACTCAAGTAAAAGTTTTTAAATTTTTCCATCTGTTCCAACCGAAACTTCTTATCCTTGTCAGCCTTTGCTGGTTGACTTGTAGAAATTCGTGACTTGGTAACTTTATTAAATCAACGCAAGGTTGTTAGTTTTGCAGTACAGTCCGCCCATCCGCTTCCCACCTCTACACTAAAGGTTACTTCAGTTATTATTTAGTTGACCGACATATTCTTTAGATTCTTTGGATAAAGGTGATTTAACTTGACAATTTTATTTGTTTATTCTATAGTTCATCGTATTCCTGAGTTTGTTCTTCCAGAAATGCATTTTGAGGATCGGCTTCATATGTATTTCAAAAAAATTGATACAAATAGTAATGGGTTCATTGAAAATGATGAATTAGCCTCATGGATTTATAAGACTTATGAGTAAGTTTAATAAACTCTGTAATGCAACACTGATTATATGTCTGATTCGTGCTTTAGGCTATACATAAACCATCTTTACTATGGGAGATTTAATGATACAACATATGTTAGTGTGTTAGTTTTAACTATTGCATTCTCTAATTAGACTCAAACCAAAATACACCTACTGGTCCATTCTCAACTAATCAGCGTTAATGAGAGAATCCAAGTGCAGAAAAATTCTTGTGTAAATTCAATATAAGCTTTAATGTTTTTGCTACTATCTTTTGTTGTGTTAGTTTACCGAAAATATGTGGTACTCTTTAAATTTTTTTTTCTAATTTGGGATTAGTTGAGTAAAATATAATATCCAATATATACTAGACAGTAGAGTAAAAATTAATATGATTGCTTAAATGTTGGTAGGTTGAGCTATTTTCGAACCTGTAATTATTTTCGTAAATTGTTTCTAATACTTTGAAGCAGAAACTGTTAGTTTTAATGTTTTGTCTTCTCATTTCCATGACGGTTTTGTTATGAGTCCATTTTACCTAGTATTCATAATGAACGTATGAGCATAGCTAAGTAACTATGTTTATATTTGCAGTGGAAGTATAGTACATATGTAACCTTGAACTACTTCTAACCAATCAGCTACTTTGACGGTGCAGCAGTGATTAGATGATTGAAACACTTCAATTCCAACAACGGCATTGCAGATTCAAACCCTGATGCACCTATTTAAGTTTGAGCAACAAGGCAAAATCACCACGAGTCTTACTAAAAGTGGTGTTTCATAATCGACCAAATGAATTTGTACTTAGTCACTAACTTGGCTAAAACTAAGTTCACTCATTCGCCACTACAAGAAACGTCTGAGTTGAACAGTAAAAATGTTATTGAAAATCCAGTGAATATCAGACAGGTTCCGAATGATCAGATGTAGAACCTACACATCCTTAAATGACTCATGGGTATAGTTGTCTTTGATGGTCTCTTCATATTAAGTGTTTAATGTGATATTTGATGGAGGCTTTTTACTTACTTATTGGTTCACGAAATCAAATCCAGACTCTATTTTTAGGAATCACTTGTTAATCTGCATTTTTTATTGATGCAAACTTTACTAGTTGTTATGTGGTTCAAATATAAAATTAAATAACCTCTCAACATGCACATGTATGTTATCTAGAAAATAGTAGTAGAAAGATAAATATTTACTTCATGCATTTTACTCATATTTTAAATAGAGAATATACATTCCATCTTATAGATCATTAGACCGTGAGCATGCAGAGCAACAACTTATGAGATTTGATGTAAATAAAGACGGAAAAGTTTCGTTCGAAGAGTACACAAGCCAAACATATGAAACCTCTGAAGAGGAATTAAAACATTCAAAGGACGACCAAGCGTCAAAGTTTATTCTGGAGGTCAGTAATAAACTTTTGTTGATTTTTACATGGGCTTTCTATAGAGTAACTAAAGTCCTGGTATTAAAGTGATTCTCAAAAATTTTTATTTTATGAAATGTTTGGTAGTTTGATCAACTTTTGTATTCACAACTACAAAATTGCTAATGGACATTTTAAAATAATGTCTCATCATGAAAATATGCAAACTTTGTAAAATGATACTATTTCCTTTAATTAGTGTGTCAATCCAATAAACCGTCCTTATGAATTTAGTAATAAATGATACGCTGGTGACAATATATTGACTTGTGTTCAGAAACAGAGGTGGTCACCTCCAGTATGAACCCATATATCAACATATTAATGAAAACCACCCATACTTCTTTGGTTATTAGAGGATTAAGGTGAATACTGATGTAAATTTTCCTGTTATTTTCACAAGTGAAACACTGCTCTGACATATTACTAGCTGTTTCTCTTATGAATAGCTCATACCTTAATCAAAATACACTTTTACTACTTGTTTAGCCTCTGGGATATTTTAAAACAGGATACAGAACACCTGCATCAGTCTGATCTTTAGCGCTCCTGATGGTATATTTCCAATACTTCTGGTTTGCCATTCTTAATTTGTCCGGTGTTCTTTCTAATTTCTACCATTGCTAGTAAGGTATCTGTATGAAGGACTGTGTGTAATACTTTGTTATTCAGTGGATTCAACGATGATAGTTTTTTCGATAGCTCACCACAGTGCTTCATTCACCTGCTCCTTTGTTATGGATCTTCACTGGTTAATCTTCCTTTTTGTCCCTAACTGATCACTATAGTTCACTATATTTTCCCGCAAGCTTCTCGGTTGTATCTTATAGCTCTCGTGTTTTCTTATTTAGCTTGTTCCTTTGTAGTTCCCGGGTCTCTTTTGTATTTCCTTTTGTCATCTCTAATATTATCCTTCACTGGCCTGTTTGCCTCTGTATCTTAAGTCTGCGCTCCAGCCTTCTATTCTCCTGTTGTGTTGTTGCTGACTATTCTTCTTGTTTATCTTTTTTTACGTCTTCCGCAGACTCTTATCAGGGCTCGGAACTGTAGGTAATCCTAGAGTGGTTCAAGATAGAGCTGGTTTAAAGCGTAAGATGATGTAATAAGTCAGATTTATCCTACCGAATTAAATATATTTTAATGCATCTTTTTCTAACCCTTAATATTCCAAACTGATTAATCAGTTCATTATTCTGCACGTGAAAAATCAGTTGTTTTTATGTAACGTCTTATTACATTTTGTAGTCATTAAAAAATGAACGATTACGTTTCAAATTTGCTGATAAAGATAATGATGGATTACTATCACTGGGAGAATTCACTTTATTCTTACGACCTGAAAATTATGAAGATATGGCAAATTATGAATTGCAAAAGAGCTTTTCCAGTTTTGATCAAAATGGTGATGGTGTGATCACGAGAGATGAGTTTACAAATTTTTGTAAGTTGTTATTTGTTCCTTCACTTATTATTAGAACCTCATAATTATTTATACTATTAAAAATCAACATGTAAGCATTCCGAAGTCGAAAAGCGAAAGTATAATCAACCAGTGATAATAACAATAGACCTTGATTCGGGATTTAAGGAGAAGAGATATTATCGGACATTATATGTAGAATACGATTTGCCTAGAGATAAATCTCTTGAATAAGTCCCTATAATGTCGCACACCGAATCTTAGCAGGGCTATAGACAAGAGGTAGTAGAAGTATTAGCGGTAACGGAAAAGATTATCAATCGAAGGTATGATTCCAGAAGTATAACCCTGTGAAATTAATTTGAAGAAGAAAAAGAAATAGGCATGAGGAACTCAGAAGAACAGAATTTGAGCGAAGACAAAGGATGGATGCACATGCGCCGTTGCAAAAGATTTCGAGACATGTTGTTCAAAGTCTCTAACCACCGGTTACGATTGTCTCACAGCACTTTAAGCCACCTCGGTACCGCAAAACGAAGCGTCAATCCCTATATTTCATTAGGTTATCATTACATTTTTCACTGACAGGTAAATGGATAAAGGAAATGTGACTTACGTAACATTTCGCACTAGTTTTATCACTTATTTGGTGTGTTATTTTTTGAATAATTCGATAGCACTGTAAACTACATGTATCACGCAACAGTTCATTTTTGGCAAATTTATTATCTATTTATTTAGCTTATCGAGGTTTATCTCAAAATAACTATCTACAAGAACAGTTCAATAGTCTTGATGTTGATAAGAACGACATACTCACTTTAAATGAACTAAAACCATGGTTATTACCTTGTAAGTCAATCACTGTTACATTTCACAGATAGTTTAACCCACAGTTATTTCGGATTATACTTAATAACTTAGCTTGTATTTGCTCAAGTGCCTAGTATTGGTTACTTCGACAGTTAGGTAATTCAATGAGATTCTCAGTTAATCATTCATCTTGACCCTCATATTTGCCTCCAGGTTCCCTGGTACCGTCGAGAGTGGGGTGAATCCGCTCTCTGCTGAAGTGTAATTACATTGCCTTGTATATATAGTGACTGCCAGGGAGGTTCTACTCACTGTCTTCTCGTGGTGGGGGTATTGCTTACGAAATTGTGAGGACGAAACGTAAGTTTTCGCCGCTTCACCCGGAATAGTGGTTTCAAAAGATCCACCTAGATGATTTGGCAAACCACAAGTTCAAACCAATGGTACCAACTATGGCTCTATGATCCTTAGGGAACGTATGGCGTATGAATGTATTATTGGTTACTAGCTACTATGGGACTGCATCTCCTTACGTTGCTCATATATTCAAACCCTAAGCTTTTCCATTACTGGTAATACTGCTGCTACCTTCTACTACTATGAGATTTGAAATGAAAATTCCATCCACGTATGCTTATATGGTTAGGGAACTTGATCTGATGTACTCACGTACCATGTTCTACGTTGTTTCTGACCGACTGACTGACTTTGATCTACTAAGATGTGGATTAGATCTTTTGATCAAAAGTTCTGACTGTGGCCTCTTAAGAAAGCCACTTGTTTTGGTTTGGACTCCAAGCAAGTATCGCTGCCCATTCAAAAACTCAATAATTTGTGTGATGCCTAAATATTTAAGCACCGCATTTTTACCAATAATTGTACGTTTAGTTATAATGAAATAAAAGTTCTTTAAGTTTAGTAAAACATACCCACACAAACGATCCTTAAGGAAAGCTGTCGTGCGTAGGTTTTTGTTAGTTTATCTTAGTGCCAAAAATAGTGATGAACGTCTGAAAAATGGGTCTCTACTCTACAAGTGATATAAAAGTTATTGACCTTTAATTTCTGTTACGGTTTGATGACTATGTGTATTAAATGAAACCCAGCTAGTTCTTTTTATGAGTCACCTCTTGAATTTCGTACAGTTTTATCTCAAAATACCAATAATTCAAGAGTAAATAATAATACGTTTTCTATCTAATAATCTCAAATGTGGATCACATGAAGTATTTGTGCAGATGGTTATGCACATACTATTAACTTTTAATAGAAAAATTTGTCTAAAATTTTTCTCCTAATGAATCCAAACCAGTTTTGTGGCATGAAATCATACGTACACCTAGTTGCAAGTCAAATGTAGTTAATTTTAAGTTATTATTATTATTGTCATTAGAATGTCAATTATTGTATTTCTATTAATTTAGATATTTGCTTACTTACCAATCATTCTGTGAATACAGAATCGTCATAGCGATCATACAATAAAGTGACAACACTAGTTTAATTATTCAATAATATATCACATTGTATTCGTTATTTAATAGTTTTGAGTACTTGGTTTGCTGTCGATAGCCCAGTTTTTATGAAGCTAATATAACACCTGTAACTTTTATAGGACATTGCAATTGACGTATCATAAAAATCTGTGAAGCTTTTAAAAACTAAATATTCATCTTAATAACTGTTAGCAAACAATAGAAAATCAACTTCATATATATGCTTATCAATTCATCCTTAATATTAAAAATGATAGTTGTGAAATACATAGTTTGTATTTATTGTTTCTTTTCAATAAACCTCGCTTAACTGAATTCCTTTCTAATTTAGCCTTAAAAACAGCCGCAAAATCAGAAGCAACACGATTGATGAATCTCACAGACTCTAATCATGATGACAAGCTTACATTGGAAGAAATTTTGGCTAAATCACATTCGTGGAAAGATAGTCAAGTTGTGAAACATGCGCGATCATTATGGGATGAATTGTAACGTAAACAAGGACAGCGTATTTTCCACCCTTATCTGCGTAACTGAATTGTATCCAGTTAAATGATGTAGTTGTAGTGTATGATGGCGTTGATCATTCCATGTCTTTCTAAGTTAGTAGTAATAAAACAATAAATTTTTGTTTTTACCTTTTACTTTAAGCTTTGTTTTTCTCACCTTTTTTCTGTGATCTGCTATCGAACAATCATTGTTTCTATTTGCTCTCACACTATCACTATAAACTCAGCTGTACATTATGTTTTTCTCTTGTGGTTACCTGTCGCAATGTATCCTTGATATTTTTATCAGTTATCTTCAATTAAACATTCCGTAAAAGTATCTTCTGTAGTTAAATGTTATTATTTTATTTTTCATCTTAATAACCATGTTATTTACGTAAACAATATGTAGGTGGTCTAAGAAAGCAATTATAAAAACATGAAAATTACTTTAATCATTCAGGCGCCACTATATGAAATAAAGCTCCGACTCTTTTGGAAGTAGTACGTATAGGGCACTAGAATCGATTCACGCCAACTTAACCTATTAATAGATTGGAACTCTGGATTTATTTATGATTAGTTCGCTTCAAATGATTTATATTGATAAACCTAACTGATGTGTACTTACGAAAGTCTCAGCGGTTGCTCTTCGAGACAATTGGTAACTAGGTCCTACTTTTACTATTATCACTATTTCTTTGGCCAACCTACATGTAAATGGTAGGTTGGTAAGAAACTGCTTTTATTACACTAATTTCTCCAAGTTTTTTAATCCCAACCTAAATTGAGTTGAATACAGTGTAAAGGAAAACTACTTAGTTTGATAACTGTATCATTTATATAGAATGAGAAATTAGTGGTTAGTTTAGTTCGATGTAAGACGTTTATGTGAATGAAAATTTAAAGTAATTCAATAAATATATAATTTAGGTTAATATCAATCTCCTGAATATGGACTTTTAACCCTGTAAATGATATCTCGACAGTAGCTGCTACACTGACGTACTGACCTGGCCTCCCCTTCCTGACTATCCAACCGAGTTGTTTTGCCAGGAACGCCTGCTTATCTCGGTCCGGTCATACCAGGCAGGTCGTTTAGAGAACGGTAAGACTAAAAGCAGCAACTTAAAGTCTGAGGGCGAAATCGTCCTGCTGACTGTTGAGGGGCGTGACTGTAGTAAAGTGTTTCGGTGGGTTTTTAGAATCTCGCACCATCGATGTATTGTGCGGCTCGGAAACGTGCATAAGGGATCCGAGTACGGTCATTCATTTGACCTCTTAAATTGAACAACCATCTCCATTTACACTTCGTGTATCTGGAGACCCTACTGATACTACCTATGGATTTGCTGGTGTACGTATTTCATTGCGCCCTAAAGCAGAACTAGCTCTTTTAGACTGGATCCCAGTAGATAGACGCTTGTGCGCTGTCCGACTAAACGGGAAAGTAAGAACTCGGAAAGATGGAGTCACTCGCTGCTGCCTCTTCCTCGTATCTGCCTACGCTCCCACTGATTGTAGTTTTAATAAGGTGAAAGATGGATTTTACAGAAAGCTTTCGGACCTCCGAAATGTTAGGCGCTCCTTCAGAAAGTTGAGCACTCTGATATATTAACAGTGACAGGTGACTGAGCGAAACTGCAATACAGCTGTGCGGATCTAATAGCGTCAGGGCTCATCTAACACAATGTCAACGGTCTTCTGCAGATATTCCCTCTCCATATTGGTATGTACAGATGATTCTTGTCTGGCTCTTGAGACGATGAAGAGCGGAAACAACATTAACAATGGTTGATACATTGCCTACGCAAAGATCAGCAGTGGCGAGTAGCGAAAGTTAAAGAGATGGAAAAAGTAACGGCGATAGTTGACCGTAGACAATTGTCCACACTTATTAAAGAATCCGGTCTTGGGAATCGGACTGTTTACGAAACTCTCGGGGGATGACGGGATTTTAATTCATTCTCAGTCCACGAGATCGCATAGACGGGAAGAAGACTTTAGGGAAGAATTCAACTGGCCTTTATTCATTCTTAGTTATTCACTAACTCCAATCCTAAACATTCTGACGCCTAACTAGAACTCGTTAAGAGCAGACTTAAGAAAATCAGCCTGGTTTCAGGTAGAAATCAGAGATAGTGAGTGAAGAGTTGCTCGTGTCTGTCATTTCATGTATCTTCCAAGTCTCTTTACCACCAGTGTATGACGCAATCTCGACGTGGATACAGAGGATTCAATTTTCCTACTCTAAATTGAATCACTTTTGACGCAGGTAAGGCATTCATCAGAGGACGGATTTATTGCACCGCAGTTCGCTGCGGTTATGCATCTTTCGCTCAGATAGATTATCTCAGCAACTTCAAAACAGTATAATCGGGATCCGTATACAGATCATAGATTTAAAATCTCTAGTTAATTTGATAAATATAATAAGCCTCAAATTTCTACAGAGTTAACTACCTGGATTGTCTAGATTTGCCGAATTTCTTGAATGTACTGAATACTGTTGAGAAACTTGGTTCAGGACCTTTGAACTTTGTGGACTGCTAGTTCCATGTAACTACTCAACAGTTCCATACTACTATCATTATCACAAAGCATAAAAAGTAAACTGGTTTGTATTCTTCATATAGCTTGCACCGGTAATAATAATTTTCTGACTGAAGGATATTTGTGTCTCTACCTTGGTTTTCTTTAATTTCAATATTATTTTCGCTTAACATCAAGTTAACTAACTAACTGCATTTTAAAATAAAATTGAATACACCATCTGTTTATCAATACAAGAAACAGTGAGTGAATCACCACACACATTTTGTGTCTACATTTCTTCGCAAAGTATATGTATTGATAAGTGAATTATTAGAACAGGTGGCTAGATGCATTATTAGTTGCTTTTTGTTTAATCATACCTACTTTTGTCTGATATTTTCTCTTTCATCTAATTAATAATCTTTTTATGTCAAGCTGTTGATCTTAATTCTGGACTTAATTGCCATCAAATGTTATAATGAATTTGTCTCCAAAAGTTTGTAATCAGATTTTATACGTGGTTAGTTGGAGAAGAAATGAAAGCCGCGGAAATATGAACAGAATTAAGTAAGATCCGAATTTTTTTCAGTCACAAAGCTCTGAAATTCATGTACCACTTGAAAAACGACTGCCATCGGTCGCCGTTTTCTAATGGTCCGGAGATGGAATTTATTTCCTATGGATTCAGGAGTGACAGCAATAATGATACCAAAATACAAAAAAGACAAACATCAATGAATGATTATTTTTGATAATTTTGTGAAAAAATACGCCATACGAATTCAATTTTCTACTTGAAAATGATGGACTCAGCCAAAGACAAATAGTTGTTTTAGCAGTTAAAAAATGAAACTGGGAAAATTAAGTGTAACCCCAGATGACGTTTAGATTATTCATGTGTTTTATGGATCTAAAATGCCGCATTTGTTATTAAGACAAATAGTAAATACATACTACTACTCTGACCGCTGCTACTACTGATTTCACATTTTTTCAGTTAATAATAGTGTATATGAATTTCAATGTTATGTGTAATGTAATTCAGTCTCATTTGATAGATAATATTGCTGATTATTTTTCTTTACTTGTCTTTGAATAACCCAATGAAATTCCACCGGCCATGTAGTTTTAATTTTGTGTGAGTTTATTTCAATCGGTGTGGTGATGTGAGTTTTGTACTTCGACTTGTATCAATATGACCTTGGGCAGTACATTTTATAATAACCATTTAGATTTAACTGAAATACTTTGACTAACTTTCAGGTTTTATTTGATGTCATGGTGTTGCATTCAATGGAGAACTAAATGTTGAGCATTTTAAATTTATTGTCCTGTGATCACAAGTAGCAGTTTATTTAAGATGATGGCAAATTAACGGTTGGAAAATTAATATGATCTTGAGACTTTTTATGTTTGTTGTAATAACGTCCTTGATACTGCTACAACTTGTATATTTTAAGAAAATTTTGTAAGTCTTATAAAACAGACTGTTAGTCTACGATTTTGAAACACAGTTATTTGATGTTTTTGTTATAAAAATAGATCTAGAAAAGTATTTCAAGTTATCTGATATGTTTCGGCCGACAGTATCTGCTACCTTAACGTGGTGGTCCGTCTCGACTATCGTGATGAGCCAGTTGAGCTATATTGGCTGGAATATATGTTCACGAACGTTCTACCATACCAGGCAGGTCGATTGAAGAACGATCAGACTAAAAACAGCTAATCAAGTTCTAAGGGCGAAGTCGTACTGCTGACTGCAGAGGGGTGTGACAGCAGTAAGGTGTTTCCCTCGGACAACCAGCATCTGCAGCGATGCTGCATTCTCACACGGAAGGATGGGGTTAGAAAAGGTCGACCCTAAAAATGTCACACCTCACCCTACCTCACGGATTTCCTTCTCCGGAGGTAAGGGTTCCCACTAAGGGCTTTCAAGAGTGGAGCTAACACTCAAAAATCCTTTCATAAAAAGATCGTGTGTGACCGGCCTCAAACAGTTGTCTCTTGGGCTCTGTGTTCACGCTCTCAGGTCGTTAAGACCAACACTAATCTACCTTCTTTTTCAGGTTCCTCAAGAAACAACCTTCCACGGTGTGGGCAGCCGTGAGGTGACAACCGCCCTCATACCAGCAGCAGCACGCCAAACCAGATTGGTCAAAACCAAATTCTTCCTATGCCCCCTAACGTCTCTCTTATCTCCACGACTCACCCTTCTTACATTCCCTCATCATCTTGAACCGCTGGTGCGAAAGATTTGAAATCACGAATCGTTATTCCTGGTCTCTTGTAACCCCGTTTTAAACTACGTGTTGGAGTCTTTAGTGTCCGGACATTGTGTCAAATAAGGCAGTAGGCTTCTTTAGCTAGGACTTTATAATGTCGTGCTATCGAGTTACGCTGCACCTCCAAAACGCCCTTAAGGGATCCGAGTAGTGTCATTCATTTGTCTTCACCATGTCAAAATAAGCAACGAACACTATTCGCTCTTCGTATATTTGGAAGCCTAAAGCGAGAAAGAGCAGCAGGACCTGATAGATTGACGAATGAGATTTTTAAGGATGGTGGTCCAGTTTTAGCAGTTAGATTGATTGGGGTCCTAGGTAGAATCTGGGAACTGGACGCACTCCTATCCGACTAGTCTCAATCATTGATTGTCCAAAATTATAAGAAAGGACAAAAGTCCTCTTGTAACAATCACCGAGGAATAAGTCTGACTAATATATTGGCCCCAATAATACTTCGACGCTTAACGGAAGCTCGTGAAGAGCAGACTCGAGAAAACCAGGCTGGTTTTCGACCTGAACTTGGTTGTATAGACCACATCTTCACATTACAACAGGTCCGAGAACGTAGACACACGTTCAGACGCCCCATAATAGTAGTCTTTCTCG